ATAAGCTGCTCCAGGGGATTTCAATCAAATATTCAAATAATTAATCTGGTTTCTTTCCTGTGGAGTGACATAATGAGGGTTGCTGGCATTTTCTCTCTTTCCCCATGAACAGATTTTTTTTTTCACTGAATAGTCCAACAGCCACAGCTGGAAAAAAACCAAACTCTGACCTACAAGTGAGTGAACACAAGTGAGGGGTCCTGGCATGAGGAGCAGCCCAGCCTGGCCGCAGCCCCAACCTGGGTATGAAACCCTCCCAGTGACATTGCCGCATGCATCAGTGTCGAACCAGGGAGCACGTCTGTGCTGCTGCATGTCCCTCAGCCCGGAGCAACCCCTCTGCACGCTCCCAGCCTCTGCAGAGAGCTCGTACTGGGGCCGGCCCCACTGAAAGGGCTAAAACCCGTTGTGGGAGAAGTGGGGGTGCCTACATTAACACCATTTTGCTGGAAGAGGATTGAGCACCCACCTGGTGTGAGCTTGAGTTATTCCAGGGCCCCAGCAGGATTGCAGCAGATAGACATGTTGAGCTGCTTTAAAAAAAAAATAAAAGGCATGGAGATTTCAGCCCCTCAGACCATGCTGCTGGTGCTGTGGCTCTGGCAGGCTGCACTAAAATTTCTAATTAAGCCCCCTCATATGGAAGATGAGACGGCCCCAGCCATTAAAACACAGCCATGTATTTAAGGCTTAATAGGGAAGGTGTAATGGATAAAGTCAATTTAATTATTCATCCTAAGAAATCTTGTACAAATATCAAATGCTTATTAGTATTCATGCAACCTGTATGATCTCGCAACACTGACAGATTAAAGGTTGTGTCTAATTGCACTGGGGATGGATTCAGATTTGGCTGGTGGTTTGTTTTTTTTTTTTTTTAATGCTCTTTTTCTCCCCAGCCTGACAAAGAGAATTTCAGATTGATGCCATCTGAGATTTAACTTTGAAACAGAGACCATCTGAAGCCTCTTCAAGTCACTCTGTGATGGTTTCCTCTGCCCCTACCTCAACATGGTGGTTTTTAATCCTCGTTTGATCCCTACTCCTCAAAGGCTGCCAAAGCGGCTCCGGGAGAGCCCAGACCGATGCAGCGCTGCCGTCCCTGCGGGCTGTGGTTTTGCTGAAACCGAGAGCGGTGGGGCAGAGTCTGGCTGACAAATGGACGCAGCTGAATTGTCATTAAAAATGCAAAACAGGAATCGATCCAATTAAATAATAATGACTTGCATTTACCCGGTGCTTTTCACTTCTGATCTTAAGCAACACAACCCTTGCAGACGGCCTGGTGGAAATTACTTAACATTGCAGAGATTCAATCAGCAGGAAAATTAACACCAGGTGATGTGAAACTGTTTCTCTGTGCAGTTGGTTATGGCCAGGTTTGGGCTGCACTGGGGGAGCTCGGGGGTTTTGTACCCGTCTGTCCAGGTGACTGTCCCCAAAAGAGACATCAGGGAGCAATTCATGGTCACTACCTGGTCTGAGAAAATTCAGTCGGAGCTTGAGTCTCCCCACACTGCCAGGATGTTCTGTCAGTGGCTTTGTCAGAGGGGACAGGCAAGTCCCCTGCCCTGCAGCCACAATGCAAAGGCTCGTAGCAGCCTCCAAGGCGATGTGGGCTTCCCTGCACCGTGGGGGATGGAGGCCAGTGGGGAAGGAGGGAGCTGGGGGGGGGGGGGGGGCCTGGCAGGGCCAGGGGGAGTACATCCACACGTACTGGGAGGCATCACTGAGCTGTGATGAACACCTCGGCCTTGGCACCGGTGTCTGCAGGGAAGGAGAGGAAGGTCCTGAAGCCACACGGCATGTTCAGATGCTCTTGGCTGGGAACATCAGACCTGCTGGAGGCGAGCGACTTCCCCGTGGTCTGACGCACAGTAAAGACTTGCACTCTGGCTTCGGAGAGATGGTTACATCCCCACCATCTTCTTTACTCTACAGAGTAGGGTTTTGCATCCAGCAAACGATGAAAGACACCTTGTCTTCACTAATTGCTCTCAGTACCAGGGTCCTGCCTTGTCCTTCTCTTCTACGTTTGCAAGACCCTGATCCATATCCCCAGACCCCCGGGATGGTCTCAGCGGGAGCCCAGGACAGATGTCCCGGCTGCAGGGCCGTCCTGGGGGGCGGCTGCATCCCGCAGGGAGTGGTGGGGAGGCTGCACCAGTAAGGTGAGCCTCGCCAGCTATTCAGAGGCAGCAAAAGCCCATTAAATCCCTTCTCCTTTTGGCTGAGGCAGCTCTGAACCTGCAGGTCCCAGCTGAAGCTTGTCCTTGGGGTATGGGTGATGTCTGAGTCCCCTACACCTTGCAGGAGGGATGTTGTGGGATGCAGACCACATCCCAGTCTTGGCAAGCTGCCTGTGCTGAGACTGAACTCAGAAATAAGAAAGGAAAGGTTATTTTGCTCTGCTGATGACCTGAGCTGAGGCGTTTCATACCTGGGAGCAGGGCTGTCGTCATGGTGTGGATCAGGACAGTGAAGACACATGGTGTGTCCTCCCCACACCACCAACAAACTGCCAGCTTGGGCCAACCTCTTCATGGGTCTGATGTGTTTTATTCCTGGGTTTGTGCCTGTGGGATCCCCTGTGCTTAGCAGGGAAGAGTCCTGGAAAAGGGGTGATTCCCAGAGCAGCCCGACCCCAGCACTCCTGAAGCCACCCAAGCTGTAACTGTGGGCAAGGAAAGCCTTTTTGCAACTCCATGAGCTTCACACTCCTGCTTGGAATTAAATGGTCTGATTTAGGCTTACTTTTAGCTTAATAAAGCACAAGTTTGCCAAAAAAAGCTTCTAACAGCAGAGGTTCCTGCCTCAAATTGGATTTTTCTGTCCTTGGCTGGAAACCCCTGGTCGGGAAGGTGACAAGTGACAGGTAGACTCACTTTGAGAGATACCTCTGCTCCGGCATTGTGGGGCAGCACTGTCATTCCCACAGCTCATCCATCTGCTGAAGATGGATCATGCATGTAGCTTGCACCCCTCTGCAGTGTCTCAGACCCCTCCTGAATTTGGAAAGATGCTCTGGGAAGGTGATGGGAAAAGGCTCTTTCCCTTTGTCCCCACTCCAGAGCAGGCAGGAACAAACATCTTATAAATATGTTCCTTTTACAAAAAAAAAAAAAAAAATTATAATTGAAATTTAATAAATAGGAGCCTTTCCCTCCTCTGCTCCCCCTGGCAGCAGGCAGCTCCCCTGGAAAAGCTGCCTGCCTTTCCTACAATTGCCTGCAGCATCCCGGGACTGTGCCGGGCCAGGGTTCCTCTTGCCGGGGCTTCACCAGGATTTATTCCCAAGGTTGTAATAAACCCCTTCCCTGACTGCAGTTTGTTCAAAGCTCCTACTCCGTGAGACGTGTTGGTTTTAACAAATTACCTCTTTACAAAGGAGATCTTTCATAACATAAAACCCACCCCCAGCACTTGCTGTGTATTTTGGGTGATCTCCGGGGGTTTTTCCTGTGTCTCCAGCTGCAGCTGCGCTGGGCTCCTGCCGCAGCGGAGCAGGATACGCCTGTCCCGTCCCATCCTGATCCTGGCTGGGTGACAGGCAGAGGGAGAGCCTCTTCTTTTCCTCCCTTTACATTTCTGCTGGCATAAAATAAAATAGCCCCTTGGCTGCTTTTTAGCCTGCTGGAGCCTCATTTAATGCACTCCAAGCTGTGGTTCCTGCTGCAAAATCAAGGTGTTGGTACCTGGATCTCAATGCCCCCAGTATTCAGCCATCTCACACAGACGTGGTGCTGGCTCATGGCTTGGAGCCCAGGCAGAGCCAGGACCAGGGGCCACAGGAGCAAATCTCCGAACTTCTCCCCGACACACTGCCGTGGCCTCAAGCCCTTCCAACTTGTTCCGCAAGCCACCTCTCCGTCACTGTGCAGGGAGTTATCAGCCGCACCGCCCCGTGGGCGAGAGGGTTTTCCTCCAGCTCTGGGGTACCGAGAAGTAGATTTGGGCACGGGGGACACTGCCTTTCCCAGCAAAGCTACATAATTACAGCAGTAAGACCAGGAGCAGCTGCGCGGCGCAGCCGCCGAGGGACACACCGGGGCATCCCATGCGCCTCCAGGCAGGATTCAGCCCAGCGCAGGGGAATTCACCTCCCCTCCTTTCCAGTCTGCTGCTTAAACTGCAATGAAAGGAGTTTGCCACCGTCCCCAAAGCGCTATTAATAATTACTTTTATGGCGCTTCTCTGGAATTCCTTGCTATCCCACCGAGACGGAATAATTATTTACAATAATCCTAAATGACTCTTAATTACAGTGGCACAGGTGCTCGGAAGCAGTCGGCACGCAGCCGCTCGATATACGGAGGCTCTTGCGTGAGGTGAGGGATCTGCCGAGCATCACCGTTGGAGCCGAGCGGGAGGTGGGACCAGCTCCAAATGCCAGCAGGGAAGGGGATGGTTCAGACCCGCGGCCCGCAGCCCGGACGGCCACATTTTAGAAAAGAGGTTTTAGGGGATGCCGAGCTCTGGGAGTGGGATGGAGACCTTCGGGCTGGGCTGCGGGCAGCGAGAGCTGCCGGCTGGACGCGGTGCGCTGGAGCAGGGCTCGGCATCCCGGCTACACCTCGCCCTGGGGCACAAAGTCAGGCCACGCTTCCAGTTTATACAGTTTAATACATGTGAAACAAGATACATTTCCTTTTGAGTAATGAATGCATAAATAACAGAAGATATATGTGAATGCATAAATATGAGGCGGCATGGAACGAACCAAACAAAAACGATTGTTTTAATTTTTTTTTTTCCCCTGTATGTCTTTTCGCTGCCGCTGCCCGGCGCTCGGGCCGATGGTGCGTCCATGCGACGGACTCGTTGCTGCTCTTATTTAACATCAGCTTTCCATGGTGAAGCTGTCCCACGGTGAGAGGGCCTGGATGAGGGGTGGGGAGGGGGCAGGGACCGGAGGCTAAAAAAGAAAAAAAAATCAACCCCAAAAACTGCAAAATAAAAAAGTGGTGTTAAGAGGTGACCTGAATTCCTCTAGAGGCTTCTCAGTCGGAGCTGGCGAGGGAAGGGCCTTGGGAGGTGAACGCGTCCACGTGTGGGTGCAGGGGGTGTGGAGGGAAGACCGACAGATAGAGTGCAAATGGGAGGGTTATGGCCACCACCGAGGTTTCGAAGGCATTCTGCTATGAGGAGGACAAATCATCAGCTTAAATGCTCACAAAGAACATCACCTAAGACAGCTCTTTATACCTTTACATACTGTATCAATAATTTACTTTGAACTGCAGTAAACAAAATACATTTCTTAAATAATTTACTATTTATTTGTTTTGTTTTTTATCTCTGTAAATTTAACTTTTTCCTTTTTTTCATCTTTTTTTTTCTTTGTAACACAAGAAACCATGTTTGTGCACGTTAGTTCAGATTATTGCGACATTTAACCTGAATTTCAGTTAAAAAAAGGAAAAAAAATAAAGCAACAGGACAGTTGTACAGACAAGAAGAATGCATAACTTATTATTGCACTGGCTACAATTCAGTAGTGATTTGGTTTTTTTTCTGTAGTTAGGACAACCTCCAAAGTACAAAAGAAAAATGAGAGAGACGTCTAAAGCATTAGCTGTGAAAAGAAGCTGGTGGGATGATGGTGGAGGGAAGGAGAGGAAAAAAATGAAAGTGAAGAAAGAAGAGAAACATTTGGAAAACGAATGGCCGTAATAATTAGTTCCACATAAAACCCAAGGAAACACCACCCAGTTGCGGAGTCACATGTAATGCAAAAAACAGTATCATTTCTCTATAAAAATATGTGCATTATGAAGAGAGAGTTTTTGTGGGTATATTTTTTTTTGTCTTTTTTCCTTGTTTTGTATCTCACAAATACATTATTTCTATTTATATAACTGCTGATATACAGACAATGTACAGCTCCCATCTCCTGGGCACTCCCGCGTAATGTGACATCTCTAAAAGGTGCCTTGTTAAAAGTTGAGCATCTTTAAAAAAACAAAACCAACAAAACAACAAAACCCAAAGAGAATCCCCCAAATCCCAACCGCCACCACCTCGAACCCGAATCAATGTGATTGAGGCCACGGAGCGGGGTGGGAGGAACGAAGCAACCCCCTGAATCAACTCCACCTTCCCTGTAGAAAAGAAACCCCCAAACCGCTTTGCAAATCCGCTCCCCCCACCCCGAAGCCCGTCACCGTTTCGTCCAGCCATTTGTTTGGTTTCTTTTTCTTTTCAAATTTTTTTTGTTTGGTTTTTTGTGTGTGTGTGTGTGTGGTTTTTTTTGCAAACCTCCACAGCGCTTAAGAACAAGTGACTGCGCAAAAGGAAAAAAAATGACAGAGCAGCCACCCACGTACCTGTGGCCGCTCAGTCCCTTCGGTTTGAAAACCCACATTGGTGTCAAGCCCTTGAGACCCCCCCGCTCCCCCCTCCCAGAAAGCTATACTGGGTCATCTACGTCTTCTTCTGTTGCAACAGTCATGGGGACCAAGTCCTGCTTCTGGAGGGGGCTCTTAGCAATGCCCAGGAGCTCATTGCTTTTCTCGGTGTTGCTCCACTGAGTTTTTAAATGATCCGGCTTTTTCAGTTCGGAGGTGGCATCGTCCGGCCGGGAGTCCATGGAGGCCGGTGTGGACTGACCGCTGTCCAGGAGGAGATCCGAGAGGCTGCTCATGGAGCCGCCGTCCAACTGCTCGAAGGAGAAGTTGGGGATGGTCAGGTGCTCCCCGCGGCATGGGGGCTGGCCCCGGCGCTCCGCTTTGGAGGCCGGCTCCCCGGGCTGGCTCTCCGCGAGCTCCAAGGACTCTCTGTAAGCTGGGAACTCACAGGATGGGGTCCTTCGCCGCAGCATGCTGTTCTCGGAGGGTTTGGTGCGTGACGCCGCCCCGCTGTCGTCCTCCATGGGAGGATCTATAGAAATGCAGGGTGGGCTCATCTTCTTCTTCCTCCGGGCTCCGTGGATGTACTCGGACTCCGTCTGGATGTGGACAGGGGACCGCTGCTTTTCCTTGGCAGGGTCCTCAAAGCTACAGTCCCCGTCGCTGATGGAGGGGCAGATCTCGATGGAGTGCCGCCTTTGGTCGTCTGCCCAGCTGGGCTTGTTGAGAAAGCCCTTCGTATCGATGCTGTAAAACTTCTTCAAGTCCTTCTCCTTGCTGCTGCCCCTGGAGAGGCTGGTTGTGCTGCAGTTCTTGAGGGGCACTGGAGACGGGGCCGGGGAGATGAACGGTGAAGTCGAGCGGCTCCCAGCATCCAAGTGATCCCCTCCCCAGTCTTTGGCCGAGCTGTTGATGTGGCAAACCTCCTCGTCAGCCAGGTCGGAGGACTCAAAGAGGCAGCCCTCAGGGTTGGGAGGGCTGCCGCCGGGGCTGGGCGGCCGGCTGGGGACGCCGTGCTGGCTGCAGGTGTGCTTCCGCGTGAGTGTGCTGGGGTGCCGATGCGGGGAAGACGGGGGGGAGCTTGGAGGGGTGCCCGGGAGGGAGGCAGCCGAGGGATGGAGCGGGCTGGGGGTGAAGGTGCTCTGGGGCTGCGTGGCTGATGGTAGCATCTCTCCAGGCTCTGCTTGCAGGCTGTCCCTGCGGTCTGGAGTCTGCCCGTCCACAGAGTCCGTCTGAATGGCCTCCTGGAAGGTGAGGAGAGAGAGATGGGGTGAGAGCCTGGGAATGTGCTGGGCCAGTGGCACTTCCAGTGATGAAACATGGCACGTGGCAGAAAAGTTGGTGGTTCTAACGTGCCCTGCACCACGCCATCCCTGCCACATCGTGCCAGTTCCCGTCAGACCCTCCCTGTACAAGAGGATGCAGTTTTGCTAGCAGACAGACCCGGCTTGTATCTTCTGGGTCTTTCTGCATGGTCTTACTCTTGCTCTAGCACCAAATCCTGAGTCAGTGCAACCTGTCTAAAGTGATGTGGTGTAGGGTTGACTGCAGGCGACTCACAGCACTGGTAAAACTGAATTGGGCATCTTCTCTCTATGTTTTAGCTATTTTTTCATAGAATAGTACATCCACAAAGTAGGTAAAAAGGGCCTTCCCCCGTGTGTCACATGCTGAGACTGGACTATATCAAAATTTAAGGCACTAGAAATGTTTTGTTCTACAAAGGGGAATTGTACTCTCAGCTCCAAGAAAAGAAACCCAAGAGGGGACTGGAAAAGAAGGGAAGGATCCAGGTGACTATGAAGGAGTTTACCTCTGCAGGCTCTTGGCCTCTCACCTGTCTGCAGAGCAGCTTGTTGAGAGTAGGAGATCGAGGTGTGATGTGGGGGGGAAAGATCTTCCAGCGGTGGCGGCCTTCGTGGTTGGGAGAGCGGACTGCCAGCTGGAGGGACTCTGTTGGGACTCTCAGAGAGGAACACGTTCCCACGGGCTGGGAGCGGATGGAGGTGATGGACCCTAGGAAACAGAGAGAAAGCAGTCACCAACACTGCTGGCATGGGCGCTCTGAAGGTTTGAGGCAGAACCGGTGCCCACAGACTCCCGGAGGGGAGTAAATGCGGGAGGCGAAAAGAAAAGACTGTCTAGTCTGGATGAAATCCCAAGCCTCAGCATAAGATTTGGGCAGTGTCAGGATTAAAAACCAGGTGTCCCTTGTCCTGTCTTCTGCTTTGAATACTAGGCCATATCTCATCAGGGATGGCAGGGAGGTTGCAGATGAAGTGTCTGCAATTCAGCAGCATTGCATGTGGCTCTGCCCACTCTGGGATATCTCCTGTTACATACTTTATGCTCATAGCCTCTATTTTCTGTTTCAGGTAACAGGAATCTTCTCTTGCAGCTGCTGTGACACTCAGGGTGGATGGCAGGCACCAGGACCACAGGGCAGCAAATGAAGGGCAGGAGGTGGGGTTGCATTTGAAACCCTGCCATTGCTCCTTTCCTGGTAGCATTGCTTTGGGTGGGTTTGTAAAAGGAGAACATGGATCGAGGAAGTCTGGTAGCTGTGCCCGATCCTCTAAGTGAGGATGCCTGGGTTGTCTTTGCAGTGCTGCCAGGGATGGGCTTGCAACCTTACGCTGCTCTGCCACATGGAGGCAAGAGCAGCGCTGCTCAGCTCCCTGGGAGCCTCCAGATCTCGACTTAAAGGTCCAACCTACAGCCTCATACAGCCAGTGGGCACCCTGCCACCGACTCCTCCGGGAGGAGACACCACTGGTGTGCACAGGGCAGTTTTCCCATTCACTACAGCCCAAACACTACCACCACCGTCTGTCCACGAGGCAGGCCTTGGCTGAATGTGGTCTGATCAGCAGCACGGAGACTGCTTCCAGTGCTTTGACAGTCCCTGAGCTCATGTATCAGGCAGGAATCACTCTCTTCCTGAAGGCTCCCAGTCCCCTGGCTGAGTCTAAAGGCAATCCCTCCTCCCCAGCCCCTTCGTGGTGCTGCTTTACTGCAGTTCTGTGTTGTTTGAAAGATCTTTTGCTTTTTTATTTTTTTGGCTGCAGGATTTATTGTCCTCATTAGTTTGAAACCCAACGTCTGTTTCTACATTGCTGCTCCATGTTAAAAACACAGTTATCCATCACTTCAAGAGATCTCGCCCAGAGGTCAGGGAACTTGAACCTATGACAAGAGCCATCCAGAGAGATTGCAGTTGCATTTCAGAAAGAGATTTGTTGTTGGGAAGAAAGAAAAGTTAGTGTTTAATCATTTTTCTTTTGGAGCTTTTCTTCAGAACACCACAGAAAGAGCAGAGCAGCAAGCTTCCCATCCCCCACCCCACCCCACTTCTCCCTAGTTCTTTTTTGGGCTCTCCTACAGCCAGAGTTTCAGACCGAGTCTGTGCCATTCATGTGCTAATCCAGGCTTTAGAAAATGTTTTTTTATGATGCAGAAAAACTCTGTCATAAAATCTGTCACAAACATGGTCATAAAATCAAAACCCTATGCTCTCCTCCCTGTCCTTAGTTGGAATTTCCTTCTGTTGGAAACCTTCCATCTAGCTCTCATATAGGAAACCAAAAGCCCCTCTAAACTGCATACTCAGGAACACTGAATATCTCTGGATTTGTATAGTTTTTTCTCTTGTTTTTCTAGTAAATCAGGAAACTGCATCTAAGACCAAAATAACACAAGATCTGGTCACCTCACAATATTTTCACTATGTAGTCACTGATGTATTGGGAGAAGACCAGGCATCCTTAACTGGCATTGAGCAGCCCATGAAAGCACAAATGCTAATGTGAGTCTCTATGTGCTCAGTTCTACTTGCATGTAACTTACGGGACTGTGACTTAAATCAGTTTGGTCAGCTCAGAAGCAGCACTGCGCTGGGTGATGCTGGTTGGATGCATCTACCAGACCAGGTAAAAAGTAAGACCCTGTCATATCCATCACTCAAGTGTTCTTGGAGCGAAATGTGGGAAACATGAGAAAAATCTTGGTCAGTTCTACCCACCCCTGCCAACATCACAGCAGTTTTATACTGGTATAAATCCTGATTTACACCCACTACAGAGATGAAAACCATCCCCAGTAGTCCAGCCATGAAATTCAACCTCTGTTTTCTTTGCTTAGCAAAGAATTTGCAGGTGAAATAATAATAAATACTAAGCAGAGAACATTAACTGGTATCTGGAGAGTTTGAACAAATATAGAGTTACTTCACCCAAGGAAATCAGAGCAGATCTTGCCAGCCCCACCAGGGTTTGCAAACCCACTACTCATCTGTCCAAGCAGTTCTTGCATTTCAAACAATGTTGCATCAAAGGAAACCAGGCTGATAAGTTCTTGGGAGCCACTCAAGAAGCACATGTGCTTTTAGGGAGGCAGGTATTTTCTTTCTTATTGATTTCTCTTTCAGCCAACTCGCACAACAAAAGAGATAGAAAGGCATTTTAGGGGAAATGTATTTGGATGCAGTTGGGTAAATGTATACTCAAAGGCTCTGTGTAGCTCATGATTCCGTGACTGCGGGGTGTCTCCACAAGATTCATTATAAGGCCAGGCTAGGGAGGCACTGGAGAGTGGTTTCTAATCTTTACGCTCCCAGAGAAACTCCTGCATCTCTGAACTCAATGTACTGTGCTAAAAAGATACTGCTCTGAGACTGAAGGCTGCCTGAAACAATAGCTGTAAAGGAGCTCTGTCAGGAAGTAATACCGACTCCTGCTTTTATTCATGTTGATTTTATTGATTCATAGTCATGATGTCAGGGCTGATCACTTCAGAAGAAATGTGCAGCTCGTATCCTTTTCATCAGCTAACAGCCTGTCCTCTATGCCTGCGACATTGCTTGGGAGCCCCACTTCTCGCCAATCAAACACCCGAGCTGCTAGTTTTCTCCTGAGAAAAGGCAGCGATGTGATGAAAACATGGAATTGTGCAGCCTGTGGGGAACTGCAGTCCTGCTGATGGTATCAAATGGAAGAAAGCAAGCCCTGGCTCAGCCCACATTCGGCATGGGTTGCTTACTCCCCATCTCACCACCATGTGTAACCTGCTGCCCCATGATTTTGGCTAGGAGGAGGAAGGGAAAACTCGTTGAGCAGTACCTCTTTGGGATTTGCAGGGATACGTTTCCATCTCCACCTCATGGAGGGGGAAAGGGGCTTTCGCTGGCATCACCGGCCGGAACATGTAGCTGTCATTGGGCAAGGAGTGCATGCGGGAAACAGAGATCTTGCGGACCGTCAGCAGGTTTTGAGAGTCCTGTGGCTTCGGAGAGGCTGCATCGCCCTGCAAAGTAAGGAGACAGGGAGATGGGGTCATTCAGCATCTTGGTGGTGAATTTATAGCAATCTCCTTCTCGTCTGCTTTTTGTTTTAAAACTTTGTGCAGATGTTCCTCTTGGCATCTTACAGAGAGTCTGCAGCCCTGGTGACTGCAATGGGATACCAAAGCTACGCTGTGCTAGCTGAGTAAAGAGCTCAAGTTGCGGCTGGAGTAAAATAAGGCATCAGTGACCCACCGCTAAGCTGACTCTTGGACACTGCAGAGAAAAAGTAAGGTCCAGGAAAATGGGGCCCCACCCTCTAAACACACGCGAAAGCCAGCATTTCTCACACTGTTCTGCTCTGATTTTCCCAGGGATGCTTTCAGCCCAGCCTGGGTGGTGATGCCCTTCTCCTCAAAGGTACTCTGGGACAGATGGGCAAAATGGGCCAGTCCTCGGCCACGATGACCGAGGGTACCAAGTGTTTCTGGCAATTCATGGATTATCTCCCCCAAAACGCACATACACGCAGACATTTAAACATACACATTAACACCACTGCAGACCCCGGGGCCTCTCTCCTGCAACATGGAGCATTTTCGGCACCACTGACCCCAGAACAAGACAGCCGCATGGCAGGAGGCAGAGGGAAGGAGAAGACATCATAGCAGCATGTATGTGGGGAAGGAGCCTGTTCAGGGGTAGAAAAGGGATTTCTCTGTGTTTGCTCTTGCTGTGAAATGGATCTGGTTGGAAATGCCCAGACAGAGCATGTCACAAACCCTAAACTTGACCCCTCACTGCTTCTCTGAGGCCCTTGTCACCTCAGGCACCTGATAGCAAATTTATCCTGGGGTCTCAGGAGGCTTTAGGGACTCAAATGATGTCTCTGCGGTGCTGATGGAGCAGTTGTGAGAGGTGGTGCCATAACTTGCCAAGTGCTGGGGGAGCATGAGCCCTTGGAACAGGACCTGCAACCTGGCTCCCGTCCCCGAGGTTTTGGTCCTAGACACATTTCCCTCACAATTTACCATGTTATCTAAAGTACGACTAATCGCTCTGGTTTTCCTTTAACGTCAGCCTCCCAGTGACTGATTGAAAACATTTTCCCAGCTGCATGTCTTAAATTAAATGTATTTTGCTTTGCTCTGCTGGGCTGTTTTCTCTCTCTGCTAGCAAAATCTGGGCCTGAGATCCCTTGCTGGATAGTTTGGAGGTCACCAAGGATCTGGTTAAATCTGTTTTTTCCATACACTTCTGGCTCACAAATTTACTTCCTCAGATCCCTAAAGAGACACATCCTGAGACAAATTACTTGATGCTTTTACCCTGTTGAGCTTGGCTGAGAAGATGGGGGGGGATGAGCAGCAGTTATTTACAGATAGTTGGCATCAAGCTCTGACTGCTGCCTTACCCAGGTCTGTCGTCTGATATATTAGTGCATCAGCAGTCTGGCTGTGCCAGTTGGCCTCTGGCCATTACAGCTAATAAGCTATCAGCATTGCAACACCTGAGCTGAAGGCAGGTGGGCGATTGTTAACACCCCAATGCCACACAGAGAACAAAAGGTCTTGCTCCACTTTCTCAGTAGTCTAACAGAAGGATCACAGTATCTGTCTATTAAATCTCAGTTCATCTCTACAGAATCTAGTATTGGTCGTGTCTGGCTGGGACAAATGAACAGAAATCCCTTCTTGACATTAACAACTGCAATTTTTAAGGTATCAGCTATTGAGACCCAATTGAGTTAGGGACGTGGGTGAATTTCATATGGCTTCAAAGCCACTGTAATAAGTACTTGAAATATGAAACATGGATAGGAAGCGTGTTGGCTCACACCTGGTGAGCTGCTCTCAACAGCTAGGAAGGTTTGGAGACACACCACCATGGGCACTGCTGCTCCTCCTCTTCGGTGGGAAACACCCGATGCACTCGGGAGCCTGATCCCATGCCCTGGAAATCAGTGTGGCTCCTTTCAAAACCCACAAAAGCCTAACCTGGACGATCGCTGCTGAGACTGCGTATGGTGAACCCTGCCTGCAGGCACCCTGAGGGCTTGGGAGGATCCCAGGCATCTGATAGAGATGTGCAAGGTGGGAGCCTACTTGCTGTGGGACCCCTCTCAGGCCAAGTAGAAAGGCAATAAATTGACCATAGATAGTCTAGGTGATGCGGCTCAGAGGCTCAGTTAAGCAACTTTAATCAATGAGCACAACTCCCTCTTCTTATGTCTGGGAATCAATAGTCTGTTCAAGCCCTGATTTTGCTCTGGTGCAGAGGGAGCTTGAGAATAAATAATCCTGCAAATACCTCCACAGGACATGACCCTTCCTGGGTGATTAAATGGCCAGAAGATACTCTGTAAGCAAAGGTGACTGGCAGGATACTCTGGAAGAGGGAATACTGTAACTTCTCAGAGGCCTAGAGCCAAGAGCCTGCAAACAAGCTGTGGGCAAAATTCCCAGAGGAAGGGCTCCTCCTGATCTGAAGGCACACGTCTCCAGCCCTGCGAGTGAGCTTAGCCATTTCCCGCAGCCTCTGAGGCAGGGAAGGCAGAGGCACAACAAGGGCAGGAGGTAACTCCCTGCCTGTGCCTGTCAATGCTGGCATCCCTGCACAGACCAACGCTGGTGGCATCTGGGGTTGTGCTGTTGGTCCCTGTAGAGGTAACAAGCTCTCAGCTCCACCAGAGGAACCTGGGACCCCCTGCAGTTGCATTTACAGAATCCCAAATTTTGCCTGTCCCTGAAGGATGCCTTCCCCACCGTCTCCCTTTGAGGCTCTGCAGCTTCCAGGTGGCCAAGCTAACGGACACCCTGCAGAACTATGCAGGGGAACTTCCTTGAAGATTATACCTTCATATCACTCATCTTGCACAGGGAAAACCACTTGGTCATCAAGAGCTTAATCTGAGCCCAGAATTTGCTTGGAGATGCTGCGAGATACTTGCCACTAGAAGGTGCCTTGATAGTCACAACAGAGGTCAGGTAATAAAAAGAAAATGGCCCAAGTCTGAAGCAGATTAACTCTGGATGGCTACTGCAAGTTCTCTCATGACAGCAAATGTGCTTCCCATCACAGCATGTGCATCTTCATCACTGACTGTGGCTTACATGTTCTCATGCCCACTGGAGGACATGTGGAGCTCATTCACCCCAAGGAGGACACTGCGCTGCAGCAGGGCAAACTGTGCAATATCTTTACGTGATGTGACCTGGGCACTGGTTCGTGGTGCGATCGGGAGGAGCGAGCAGAGGGGGCTACAGCCCTTCTGGTCTGCTGGGTGATCTCGCCAGAGCACCTCCTGAATCCACAGCTCTGGTGCTTGCTGAAAGGCTAACGTGTTTATCTACTTATGCCTTTGCTTCCTCAGTACTATATCATAAACAACTTCTTATAGTAACAATAAGAAAATCAAATTGGGCTGTTCTCTCCACAAAGAAAAGACTCTGCCTGCCTCCAGCTCTTGATATATCATTTGAAGACAGACTGCTTACACATCACATCACACCAAATGCAAGACTTTTTTTGGCTAAAAAGAGTATTTCATTCATGTCCCACACAAGGCTGCTGGCAGAGTTGGCTGAGACATGTTCTTTGCCCAGCTCCTGTACACGCAAAGGCAGTATGAAGGACAGAAGAGGAAAACTACTGTTGTGGCTGTGAAGAGACAGGTTTAGGACAATTCAGACACCACCGCTAGCTGCACAGCACCAAAGCACAATGCCACAACGCAGAAGCAACGGAGCGGAGTCATTCACCTCAGCCTCGTGGCCTGCGGTTTTGTGGGAAGGTGTCAGGACATGGTGGGAAACAGAGCAGAAGGACGGGATTTCCATGATGGGAGTCTCTGCCCCCTCCAGCGTGTCTGAGTCTGGGATGGCTAAAGACACATTCTCACAGCTCAGCGCCTCCTTCAAATTAGGGAGATAAAAAGCATCAGTAGCAGAGCAAGGCTGGGTCTTAATGCTCAAACACCTTTGCCCCATGGCATTTCCTAGTTGCCCCATTCATCCAGAGCAGGAAGGAAGAGAAAAGGAAACATGGGCTGCAAAAACTGGCACAAATGGTCTGAAAATACAGAGCATCCTGCAACACCTTCCAGGGTGCTCATGCCAGCATCAGTGGCAGGATTAGTGATAAAGAGCGCTACGTGTTTAACCTCTTCGGTGCAGCTGGCAGGGCGTGCAGCACCGAGCTGCCAGCCATCCATGCCTGCCCAGAACAGCTTGGGTGTCTGAGATGTGAGTGAGGGCATTGCCACAACCCAGCTCCACCGCGGTGCCTCTGCCTCACTACCACACAGGGGAGGGGGAGCCCTGGCTTGCAAATCCTCACCTGCATTCGAGCAATCTCATCTGCAGGGGGAAATCTGTGGCCAGCTCCCTGCTTGTGCTGTCCTCCCTCTGGGGAGCATCACCTCTTGCTATGGGTTTTCTAGGGCTAAGAGGAGGCTCTGCATGGCTCCTGATGTGCTTGGGAGGTATTGGAAGATGAGGAAAGCCCAGTGAGAATGAACTCAGTTTGCAATCACAGCCTATGTGAAAGGATGTGCCCTCTCTTCCCCCAACAAGAAAAGCAACCTGGGTGTTTATGGTATATTTACCTGCAGAAATGTCTATTAGAAACTACATTCAAATAGTGAATTCCCCATCGCTGTGTAACTAAATTTCTTTTTACTTAACTTAATAGAGTCTGATAGATTTTACAAAAATCTAATTTAATGTAATTTAATCTCAAATCCCCCATTGATTTTGTGGTAGATTTATTTGCGATCACGGTGACAAAGCAATTTCATATTCACTCTTAATCATATGCTGCTGACATGGGATGAGACAATTATCTCATGTCCCTTCTTCCCCCCTGACTTCCAATTGCCCTATTTTGCTAGAGGACTAATAGAAATCAGAGAACAGGCAGTGTCTGGAAAATCAACCCAGGAACCTCCAGCTTCTTGCTGAGGGGCTTTGACAATTCCCAGCGTCCAAGTCAGCCATGCCATAAGCAGAGCATAAGCCAGTGGGAAGCTGCATGCTTACACCAGTGCCAGACATGCCCTCCTGAGCTCCACGCTATGATCTGCTTGAGGCTCCTCTGGAAATCCCAAAGTGGGATTAAAAAGAAGCTGAGCAGTACATCTGTGTCTGTGTGAAGGCAATTTATGCCATCCCTTACTGTATGTGTCAGGGTTGACAGTGCCAGCATTCGCAGGGGTTTATGAGATTGCTCCCTGGTGCTGCTGCCCACACTAAAATGACAAGGACCAATGCGCCGGCTGGGAGAGCAGGACAGAGACCTGTGGCTGTTATGGTTCTGAACTTAAAATTCACAACCTTTGAATGAACTGGAAACGGCAAGGGATGGGCTTTCACCCCTCCCCCAGAACAACAGTCAGGACAGCATTAGCCCTGGAGAATGTGTTTCAAGCTGCCTTCCACCTCAGTGAGCCCTCCTGAGATGACTCAAGATGTGGAGGTGGCGGTGACATCTCTGCCGTAGGGGAACCCGGCAGAGCTGCCTTCCTCCCACGCTGCCTTGTCTCCTGCCTCTTTGGCTCTGTGTCACTCGGGATCTGACTGCCTGATGATCAGACAGCAGTGACTGGTGAGAACTGTCCCCTCCCTACCCTGAGCACAAGAAGAGCAAATGCATTATGTGAGCTATTACCAGGGCTTGGTCCTTCACCTGCACCGCTGACTCCGACTTCGTGGTCTCCCGACTTCTGTAGGGTGCCCTGCTCTCTGGGGCCACTGCACCTCCCCTGCTCCCACTGTTGGTCGAGGTGGTTGCTCCTCTGGACATCTCCAACTCGATCTCAGCATCCATCTCAGCATCCTCCTTGGCCTCCTTGTTGCTCTCCTCCAAGTGCTTCATCAGCACTGCCACCACCACATTGACTAGGACGAACTGTGCGATGAGGACGAAGGTGACAAAGTAGACAGGAGAGATAACAGGAAGGTAACTGAGGCAGTGCTTGTCTTCCCGAGTGCATTCCCGAAGAGTGTCCTGCAACAGAGAGGGAGAAGTGAGGGATTAACAAGGGCTGGGGCTTTACTTGGGCTCCAAATACAGAAGCATCAAAGATAACCTGCTGAGGACTGAAAAGCATATAATACCATACCCCAGACACAACGGCTTGTAGCTACAACTAAAATGTATAGAAGAAAATATGGACACCATGAATTACATCCTCTACAAAGAGGAGGATCGTGTTATGTCCCAAAGGCACAGGGCACAGAGTACACGGTTACTCCTCTCAGCCACAAGAACTGGCATAATTTTCCTGAAGTATTATGTATATATATGTTAAAAAGAATGAAGTTTCAGTTTGGGTGAGACTTAGGAGAAATTATCACTTGAAAATACACTTGGCTTTTAAATGGGAAAGTCTAATTTTGAAGTTTTAAAAAGAAACCTTTTCTGTTTTCACACAAGAGTTGCCTAAATTTGTCTGAAATCTGTATCTAGATATCTACAGAGAGAAGCAAGTACCCAGACAGAGACTGCACACACCTTCATGATACCATTCCAGTTGTCCCCCGTTGACACCCTGAAGAGAGTGAGAAAGGCCATGCCGAAGTTGGTGAAAGTTGCATGCCGGCTCAGACCTTCACAAGGATTTTCTTCGCTGCAGTCTGCAGGAGAGAGAAGCAGAGCATGTTGGTGAAGCCACATTTGCCAGTACTTAATCAGAGCACCTCCCCAAACCTGGTTTGAGACCCTGAGATTATGTCACACTGATACATGGCATCGGGGAGGACTGCTAAGTGGTGATCTCATGGTGGCCTGCAGCTACTGAAGTGCAGCAGCAGAGATCACGTAGCCAAACTCTTCCCAGTGGAGGCAGATGATATAATGGACAGCAACACACTGTGGCTTAGGAGGTCCAGGTTGGACATTAGGAAAGTTGTTTTAATCTGGAGGGCCCAACAGCCCTGGGACAGGTCACCAGAGAGGTAGGGGAGCTCTGTCATCAGAAGTTTTCAAGATTTGGCTGGACAAAGCCACACCTATTTTGAGCTCCTGATGGGGCTTCAAGTGGGAGGCTGGGTGGGGGCCTCCAGATGCCTCTTCCACCAACATTTCTGTGATTCTCTTGACTTTACCCCAACAGGCAGAGCCAACACAAAGAGATCTAAAAGGAGGTGGAAACAAGCAGATTTGCTGGGCTGTCTCAACAAATACTGCTCTACAGTATCCTTTTTCTGTTATCGTCTTGATTATGTCCTTGTCTTGATTATTTTTTACAGGGTACATCTACCATGGGGGATATTTCACTGAGATAAAGTGGAGCAATTTGACATTTTCCCCCTGAGAATTAATATACTAATGAATGTAAATTGAACATATGAAATACCCCTCCTTCCATAAGACACAGGTTTGTTAAATATTCATTAGGACAGGCAGCAATGTCTCTTGCTATGGCATTTCACTATTAGGTATTTACTTCAGAGCCAAATAGGAAGAAAAACCAAAAAGAGCGAAAAAAACCCACAAATGACCAGTCTTGGGGAGCGAGTGCTGATGGTTCTTGTGGCTGACATGGACTAGCAGTGACTGGGAAAAAGAAGTGAAAGTATATCCCAGTTAAATCAGGATGGGAAGCAGTGTGCTGACTGCTTGCAGCTTGCCCCAGACAAGATCAGGGCTTTCCCAATCTCTGACCACATGCTGTGGTTACCTGGAGGCTGGCACTGGTGAGGTGTGTGCGTACAAATACAAAAAGGATTCAGAGCAGCAGAAGGTGCCTTTGTGAATAAGACATTTTTCATCTTTGTGGCTGAAGAAATATGTACCTATATATCTAGATATGTAGTATAAACCCCACAGTATTTCATTTGGGGTGGATGCAGAACTAATTTTTTTTCCCTGAATTTGTTGAACACTGAAAAATAATTTGTCTTTGGCTGAAAGAAATATTCTGCTTTCAGGCATTTGTAATCCGAGCAGAGGGCTGGACTCATAAAGGGGATTAATGACAGCCATAAAACCACCGCGGAGAAAGGGCCCTTCTGATGCTCTCGAAGCCCTAATTGGGATGCAAACACTGAGAAAGCAGACACATCTCCTTCGAACAGCATGTTTAAAGGCAGTGACTGCTTTGGCCTGGCTAAGCTGGGCAAGGTAGGGCTATAGTGTTTTCTCTCTGACTCCACCCAATTTTCCTTTTAGTGGTGGACACATTCATGATCAGCTCTGCAGTATCCTCAAGCTGGAGGAATAAATGATGCTGGACAATCAGGAACCAGTGGATGCTTCCTGATTTATGTTGAAAGGGGAAGGCGATGCTGAGAAGAACAACGGACAGACAAGACTTGGGCAGCTAGAAGAGCAATGTTAGCCAAGTGCAGAACTAACGGAGTGTGGTGGAAGCTCCGAGGAGGGACGTGTTTATGGTGGCATCTCTCCAGCGCGAATCTGACTACCATCCAGCTTTGCAGACTCATGTTGTGTCATGAAGTAGCAAACTTCCATCTTTGTGAACATATCCATGCTGGACAATTATATTTAAACAGTAAATAGTTCCTCTACAGCCAAGGGTGGTGTTGAACAAATCTCTAAATGTGTGTGTGTGTGTGCACATTAGACAGGTTCTGTATTACATCCTTATGTGTCATCTGCGACCCTGAGATCAAGAGAAAACTTTAATCTTCAGACCATGAGCTGTGAAGCTAAGGAAGGCCCAAGAATGAGAGAGGGAAGAAAGGAAACAGCTAGATACCAAATAAACATCAACCGGATGAAATAAATTGTGTCAGGCACATTACTCACCTAGCTTGCCAAACAATTCCACTCCCAGGGCAGCATAGATAAAAAACAGGAGCATAAAAAGTAGGCCAAGGTTCCCTACCTACACAAGGAGAAAGCAGAACAAGGGTCAGGCAAGTTGAGTTAATGAATTAAATTGTTCCATCACATTTTAAACATAAGCAAAAGAGGGACTGGTGGCCAGAGGCTAATTATCATCTCCCCTGGCTTCCAACACCCTGGTCCCCTTTCACTGGTCTGCTTTAATAGACCCAGAGAAGTCTCCCATGTCGGGGAAGGAGCAGATACTCCCACACGCAAAGCAGTCTCTGTGGCTAGTACCTCTCCATCACCCTTCCACCTACCCAGGATGCTGCCTTCATCTGTAATTTGGCCAACCTGTAGCTGTAGCCTCAGCGGCACTTAGCACTGCACTTCAGTGCAATGGTAGTTTAAGTGACCTTATGCTCTGGTTTGAGTTTTAAGGGCCTTTCCCTTCTGTTTGCCACCTTTTTAGACTCTCTGAACATGAAGGCTGAGGGTTTCAAGGCAGTGACATTAACAAGACATGTCTCAAGCCACAGGAGGAATTGTCTGGTTTTCAAAGGCTTTGCTGGCCTGGAGGGCTTTCAGAAAAGGAACATATACTCCAGTAAGATGTAAGTCTCGCCTAGCCTTGCCACTTTACAGATATTTCTCAATAACACTACCTGAATTTTAGCTTTCAGCGTCTCAAAAGAAAAGCCTTATTCCATATACCAATGCAGGCACCTTGCAGTTCAAACACTGCATGGTGTGCTACTATGAGGTATTAACATGCACGGCAAGGTGGCTGAAGGGGGTGGCAATAGAAGTGCAATAATGCTAAAGGGAACACAAAGGTTTTTAGTAACAATGGCATTACAGTTATCCACACTGGACTCAATCACTACACGGGGTCGAAGCCTTTAAAACATCTAAAAGAGCAGATTTTTTGTGATTCAGGCAGAGAATATGAAGGGCAGAGTAACCTGACCAGCTAACCACCTGCATTTTACCTGCAACTAACTCTGGTCACATTTACCTTTCCTGCCACTTTTAAATGCCTTGTGTCTATGGGCTTGTAATGGAGATAGAGCAATCAAGTTCTCCAGTTAGACATGGTGTCACAAGCATCATTTTATCTCTAAATAAAAATGAACTAGGTGGTGATTCGGGTAGTCAGGATGAGGGAGTCGTGACCTCCAAGATACCTTCTAGTGAACTCTTCAGTTTGAGAGAGCTTTCTTCTCTGAGGTGGCACAGCCACAGTGTTGCTGTGTATTTTGACCATGCTGCTTAATTTCATTAGAAAGGTTATTAGTATGATACCTGTTATCATAAAATTAACACAGCTATCACTTATGAAGTAGGGTGGTTTTTTTGCATTAAAGAAATGGGAATAGTCAAATCACCCAGTGAAGACTGTAATTGCTATAAAGCCTAAACTGGCTACTACACATAGAGCTTTGCAATTCCACTAACATTATTACCATACTCCAGGGAATAATAGAGATAATACAGTGATGTGGATGGCTGGTCTGGATTATTTCATCTGCATGTACTGTATTCTGGAATAGTGTTTCCTAACTCATGTCTGTGAGACCACTGATGGTTTGTAAGACATTAGAAGGCAGTCTGCAAAATGACTGCAAATTAGAAAATACAAGAAAGCAGGCACACGTGCAAATGCACACACACGGACTGCCAGGGAGGCAAATGAGCAAATAATTAAAGGGAAGGAAAATAAAAGTGATAAACAAGTTTTCTAGGTTGAGTGTATATTAAAGCCTGATGTTGTAGCACTGCAGAAGAGGGTCTTGGATTTTTTTCAAAGAAGCCTATAAGCTGAATATTTTACTGCTATTTTAATGCCTAATAAATCAGCCTGCAAACTTTTGGCATTGATGAAATTCCAAAGAATTTAGACTAACATCAAAATTATTACCAGCTTATCAGTCAAAACTATAATCTATCTCTCAACAAGCAAAGCATGTTATGAGCTGACATTGCTCATAAACAATTTGCCTACTATCTAGTGTGCATTTGTAAAAGATTCTGTATTTAAGATCATGACTAATTGCATTACTGAACTAGTGTGTCTCATAACAAGTCCTTCAAAGACCAGTTTACACTCGTGGGTTTGCTGTATAGGCTTGAGGCATCACAGCTATAGGCATACTCTAAAAATGCTGAGAGGCATGTTTGCTAATGTGGTGTTTGCTGGTGTCTAAGGTTGCATCTGCCCTTGGCTGAGAGCAGACACGTGGGCAGTTCCAAAGCTCAGCTGATGCACAGGATCTCTTGGGAAGTGACTGAACATCTGACTCAGATTTGGAAACATGGCTATGTGAAAGAGAGATGTGGGGGACAGCAGCAAGTGAAAGATCCTGGGATGGGTGATGGGACTGCCTTTACTGTTAAACTCCATCCCACCCTGTATCTAGACATCCAGAGCTTCTCCCTGTGTGCACAAGAACAACCTGCTGCCCTGACCACCCCCTGCAGATGTAGCATCCACACGGGTACATGCAGGCAGCTGGTGGCTCCTGAGTTTGGAGAGGGCAGCCCACAAACACCTGCTGCTCAAGAGAATGTGGCGGAGCAAAATGGCTCACCTCTTGCTTAGGTCTATTTGTGTAGCTTCTGGCTGTACTAAATCAGTACAAGTCAGTGCCAGGTTTAATATTTTGTCAGTATTAGCCCATGGTGCTCTGGTACATGACCCTCAGGAAAGGAAAGGAAGGTCTTCTGCAGCCCATGGCCATCACCAAGGCCTAAGCACAGAGAAGGACCCAAGACATGTTCTCAGAGATGGGCTGAGGTGGAGGCAGCGAGGTCAGCCAGCGGTTGCTGAGTAGCAGAGAAGGCAGACTGTATGTATGTCTGTGACCTTGAGTGAGTCATTCCTCTCCTGTAACTCAACGTACCCATTTGTAATACCCTTGTGGACAGCTAATTAATGCCTCTAAAGCACTTTGAGATCTACTGAGACCAGGCAAGAAAAAGATTATGCATGAATCATGTTGCTGGGAGGAATGGGAGGGGGATGGAGCATATCCAGGCACTTTTCTCCAGCAGCCAAAGGCTGGGATGCCTGTGCTGGACTCTCCATCAGGGACAGAGATCCAGCTCTGGTCAGCAACCTCCACTTTGGCAGCCGGTCATCCAAGCAGGCTCTGGGAAGTGGTTCTGCTCTAGCAGTACTGAACAGGTCAGCCCATGCTCTGCTTATCCATCAAACTGGATAGGTGCCTTTGGCTGGGCAGAAGAAACTACAGATAACCCCTCTCTCTGGCAGCCAGGGGCTGTCCATCATTTGCTGTGGCTCCAGTGTTGAGGGGAGGCTGTGGCCTGTAGCGAGTGAAGCAGAGATGAACAACCTCTTGGAGATGTTCTTGGTGCCCTAAAGTATCTCAGAGAAGCCACAAGACAAGATGGAGACACTGGTGATTCTGTGATTCCTCCTGGACCTTCACTTTCTGGCATCCTGGCTGTCATATACTGCTGGCAAAAGTGTCTGTGTGCCTGGGACAGAGGGATGCTGTGGGGAGAGAGGCAGAGTCCTCCATCCCACCCAGAGGAGCAGGGAGGGCCTGTATGAAGAACGACCACCCTTCACCACTCAGCTGAATCTATGATCTACCATTGCAAAAGCTCTGGAATAACCCTGCTCAGCAGCAAGGAAAGTGACTGTCCTCTCCACAAACCCAGCAAAACCCTTCTCCCCCTGCTCCTGTGTGGCCTGGGGAGGCTGTCTCTGCTTTACTCTTGCAGACATCATTGCTATTAGGTTTTTGCCTCCTCCTAAGTGAGGCTCTAGTAGCTAAGCACCACTGCGTGTCCCATCAGAGTTCAACCTCTGACCTATGCCACTATCTGCAGGCAGACAGAGCAACTATGCCAGGTTGTGATATGCAAGTGTCTTGCACTGATCACGTACAACAGGACACCAACCACCTGGGCACTATCACTCCTCTGCTGCACTGTCAGCTGTGTGATCCTACCCAAATCCCTCTAGATCCTGCTGGCCTGAGGCATTGATGAAATACAGTCTTCTGCTGCCCCATTCCTGCAATGGCTGGCTGAAGCACACTACAGTTCCTCTTGTGCCTCTTCCTGCTCTGACATCAATTATTTCTGCATCACTGGCCCACACCTTGGCATTTCAGTTGTCCATGCAGGCAACACACACAGCTCCCTGGAATGCCTGTCAAGAGCAATTTCTCATAAAACTAAGCCCCTGCCAATTCTTTCCAAGGACACGAGTCCTCCTCATCTTCCTTCCAGCACTCTCCAGCCAAAGCAATAATCCTGGCAGCAGGAAAACACAGGCTAATTTATGCACTATACCCAAGAGAAAATGGACATATTTGTCTGCTTGGAAAACGGAGGCCATCTGTGTGAATTCCAGGACTAGTGGAAAGGGCCAGACGGACAACCTTGGAGGCTAAAGTCATCTCACTGGTGCAACCACAAGGCCACTAGCTGAACTGAACGGACTCCCCTTTCTGTGTATCCACTTGGTCCCACAGAGACCAGTGCTAACAGCCAGCAGAAAGGTGGTTTCTTTACCTAATGACTTCTGCTTTGCTACTCAAATCTCTCAGGCATCTCTGTACTTCTTTCCAATGTGCAGCATAGCACACATACCTATCTTCCAAAATCTCTCATCTGCAGTGCTTGCTGGTAAGACATTTCTATTCTTGCTCTCTGAGCTTCACAGTCACTGTGGGGTTTCAGTGTCTGGCAAAAGCAGACTATTGTTTCTGTCCCACAACTGCTGTCAGACAATGCCAGAAAACCTCTTCAAGAGCTGGAGTTGAGATAAGCACAGGAATTACAGCACCAAGAAGAGTTAAACTCCTGGACAGGAGCTAACTACAGATTCTGTCCTTCAGGACACTGATAGAACGGGGAGTTCTTCACTTTTTTCTTGGCACAGAGTCCATCTGGGGGGAGTTCCAAGCTTTGAAGACAAACAGGAGATATACTGTACAGTCCTGCATTTAATTAATGTGCCATCCACAGACCAAGTGAGAAAAATGAAGGAAAAAGAACCCAGATCTTTTGATAGGAAAATTCCACATTTTACTATTATTGGCCCTGTAGAGCCAGGATGGCGATTGGACTGGATTCTACTTTGTCCTCTCCATCAGGAAGAGTACTGGCAGCTTCACATTGACTGCAGGTTTTCTTACTGGCAATTGATAGAAGAAGTGCTGTGCAGACTGAGCTGGGCTGCTTGGTATGGTGGATTCACTTACTTACACAATGAGCATTTTAACCCAGCCAAATGCAAAGTTACAAATCCGAGAGCAAAGTGCAGGCCATGCTACAGAAAGGCTGGACTGTACTTTGGAAAGCAGGGAATGTGAAAAGGACTAAAGGATTACCATCAAATAGGAGTCTTACAGGGCAGGCATTGCTCACAAAACCGATGCAGCCACCAGATGTATAAGCAAGGGAATATTCAGCTGAAGCATAAGAGTGGTATAATTCATTATACAGCCTTAATGGGGCCAGAGCTCATAAAAAAGAGGAAAACACTTGAAACAGGTCTTGAAAACCTGCTTCATACTGAGATATTAAAGGAATTCAATGTTCTTCTGTTTGCCAGACTGCAAGAGATTATTTTATCTCTTATTGCTCCAAAACGGAGAAGTTCTAAAAGAAACAAAGAAAAATTACATCCAATGAAAAAACAAACTTGGCTAATTCAGACTAAAAACACCAGATTTTTTTTAGCAGGAGGAGTAAACATCTACTGGAAGAATCAATAGGGGATGGCTGATTGCCTAACACTTTGCATCCTTAAAACAAGACCAGGTGGCTTTTAAAAGACATGCTGAAGTTCAGTGCAGAGCTGTGTGGCTTGTGTTATGCTAGGAGCAGGCCTCTGCAATCACAGGGGAGTTTTTGGTCTGTGAATGGCAGCACTGAACTGGCTTAATTAGGACTGGCAATGTCTAAATGATGAAGTCAGTGTTGGTCATGCTAGCCCAGCTCTTTTTAGTTGCTCAGGTTAAAGCAGTGGATCTATTTCAAGTTTACAAGTTTTATTTTTACAAGTTTACAAGTGGTGGGCAAAAAAGGTGCCATTTTGAGATCTTGCCCTGATTATTCTTTCTGTCTCTCTTGCCTCTCTTCATTTGTTCTCCTCTACTCCAACTCATTTTTTTCAGAGACATGGAGGAGGAGGAGATCTCTGAACTGGTAGACATGAGGCTACCAGACAAGGAGGATGCAGTAGGTTAGGAAGTCTTCCTGCATTGAAACCAGCAGCTCAAGGTCAGTCTGAAGTTCCAGAAGAGGAGACTAAGCCTGTACCATGACAGCTTCAATCTTGGATCAAAATGCTAACATTCCCCCAAGTCTGGGGTAGTTGGTTCTCTAAGTGTTACGCAAGCTATATCGGCAGCTGAATAAAAACAAATAGGAAACTGATGAAAATAACCCAAAAGAGAAAGAAAAAAATGTGTACTGCAATGACAATACCGTCATCGTAAGCCCGTAAATGGACATTCTACATACACCAGACAAGAATTTTGCCAAAACCTTAATGAATAAAGATCAAATTCATTTTTCTTGTCACTTAGCAGACACATTCAATGAGGATTTTCCAGCTGTGGTTTTAGACTGCTAAATTAACTGGGGTAGGAACTATTCCCCTGCCTTTGAAATGAAAGCTGTAGCTTTATGAAGAGTGATTGTTGTCAGAGAGGTCTTCCCAAACTTCCCTTCTCATTTTCTGAATTTCACTGGAGGACAAAATGGCATTTTTATCTGCACAAGATCTGCTTGGAATATCCCTGGGGATTTCCCTTTAAAAGAGACTTTGGTTTGAATGTAAACTGCAAAAACACCCCAAGGAAACAAAAAGCCTGGCCTGCAGCCACCCTATTGTTTGGGGGGGAGAGAAAACAAGGAGAGAGAGAAAATATGCTCTGTAATCACAATGTTTTCGAAAGAAAAAAAATAGACACAAATCAAATGCTTTCTTGAAATGCCAAAACAGGGGTCAGGTTGGTAAATTCCATGCTTTAGTCTCAGCCAAAATCCTTCACTGAAAAGGAAATCTGAATACCAAAGGGTAAATATCTCAGATTAGAAACATCTTTATGGCAGTGATGAAAAGTAAATGGGTCTTTCCAAGAAAAAGAAATTCCCCTTGTTTTCCAGTTCATTTTGAATAGATCATAGGCTTCTTTGTACTTAGCAACTAATTCATAGGGGTATATTTGGGTAATTACATGTACTGGTTCTACTGATTCTCATAGGGCCACTCATACTCTGCAAGAGATGTCTACACCGTGTCTGCTTTTGGCCAAGCCACAGTTTGGATGGCCAAGCCTCTGCCTTTGAGGCCTGACTCTCCCGGTCCTTGCCAGGGCACACTACACTGCCTTTTACACAGAATGGAGTGGGCCCACTCGTAAAGCTCCTTCCAGCAACTCTGCTGTGGGATGTTTTGGAGGCGTTGAAAACTAAGGACTTGTCTGACCATGCTTGTGCATCCTAAAAGTGCTGCTTCTGAATTGCCAGCTCAGAGAAGAAGGCAGCAGAGGTCTTCTGCCTCATTCTTCATGGCCTGGCACCTCATATTGGTACTCACTTGTGGGTAAAGCATGGCAGTAAATGTTTCCAGTACTGTCTGGTGGGATACGGGATCCTGGTGATACATGAAATTGGAATGTGTAGGCAGCTGAACTGACTCTAAAGACTGAAAGATTAGGACTCGGACAATCAAACTCACAAACTAGCAGAACACAGCTTAAGTAGCGTAAGATTTTAAAAACAAAGGAATCCTAAACTTCTTGGAATTCTTCTGATGTACTTTAGATCTTTTTGAGGGAGGAGTGCAAGTCAGCAAAAAGTTTCTTTCCTTCTTTTTTTAAATGAATAGATCCATAAAAAAGTGGTCCCAGGAACTGAACACTTGAAGGGTTCTATCAAATATCATTAAGACTGGCAGCATCACTGTTCCTCTTGCATCTCATGAGAATATGGTGATTTGAGACCCCACTTCAAGCTTTTAACACTCAGAAACATCTTCCCCATTTGCCTTTTAAAGTCTGCAGCTCCTCTGTCAATAAACATGGTTGCTCCTGTCTCACAAAGAAAACTGCTGAGCTGGAAGCTGTCTACTTCTAAGGCTTTCACCAATAGCTTTCTCTGTCTATCCTTGTGTTTCCTGAACTTGCCAGTGAAATCTATGTTTTATAAGAGCTCTGCCTACAGCAATTGGCTCTCTGTGAACTCTTTTTCCATTATTCCGGTTCTCCCATGTAACACATAGTATGTGAGCAGGATGTGCCATGCAAAACTCTGCTACCAAGGCCCTGGTGGCAGCAGAGAAAGCTGATATCCTCCCCAGCTGACTTCTAGTGCCCACCAAACATGGTGGCACAGAGCTGTCCCCAGGTCCTAAAGGCACAGAACACCAAGGGGAACAAACTGGGCATGGATGAAGTCTGAGGGCTTACCTGGGGAAGCGCTTGTACCACTGTGTCCAGGAGAGCTCGCATCCCAGTGGCCATTTTGAGCAGTTTCAGCACTACAATGAGAATCAAAACCTGATCAGCAGGGCTGGGAAATATTTCAAGCAAAAGGAAATAAAGGAAATCTAGCTTCAGGTTTACATCTCGCTTGCATCTATTCATACGGATGGCAAGCTCATTGCATCCTGGCAGGGCCCACAGAACATCTGAACATCCTGACTACTTCCTACAGCAATTAATGTTAAGGACGTCAGTAAAACAGACCAAAAGCCAGAATAACTCCAGTGTGCCCTAGCAGGAAAATAGGAAATGGGAGAGTGATGGTGAGACACTTCATCAGTGAAAAGCATCATCTCAAGCTCTGATCGTCCCTTCTCCACTGCTTCCCACTCTTGTCTGGATCAGTAAAAAGGTTTGTGATCCCAGGTCTGAATTAGAGACAAATCTAAGATGCCACTGGAAATACCCATGAAACCCCACCTAGCTTGTCTCTGAATTGACATTTTGCAGCCTCATTGCCTAACTGTTCTCAAGTTGAACTGAAACAGCAGGACTAGAAGAACAAATGGCCAAACAAATGGGTGTCTGGAGGGATGGCTGGAGACCTACGGAGCAGGCCATACCTCTTGCTATTCTCAGCACCCGCATGATGCGTATTATTGTGGGATTGATGGGCAGTGCAGCATTCATCTCAATTTCCTCCAGCGTGATTCCCACAATTGATAACAGAACTATGGCCAAATCCAGCTGATTCCACCTAATAGACAAAGAGAGGAAGGACAAAAAAAAAAAAGTCATACACAGACAGACAACCCAAGAGCAGAGAATTATCTGTTAATAACAAGCACAAGCAAATCCTAAACGCTTCTCCTCTCTCATATCTGAGCTCATGACCTTCTACATGGTACAAGATCAACCCACTGCAGCTGGCATAGACAGCCTCTGAGCCACAAGCTGCTGTAGGCTGTGAGTGGGAAGTGTCCCTGCTTACTTCCAGGTCCCTATCATCCCCCTGCTATCCACTTGGAGCCACTCTCAGGGACAAGATACTAGGCTAGAGGGACCTTTGATGTGATACAATACAGCTGCTCCCATGTTATGTCACCTGTCTTTTGAATTACTTCACTTGAGTATCTTCATTGATTTATAGCCTAACACTTGTAAACGGCCTTCCACACCAGCACTAGAAAGACAGTAAGATGTGAAGAAACTGAGTGTCTTTCCCAGGCAATTTCCCTCATAAGTAATATTGCTCATAGCAGCTTCCAACCGCTCAGTCAGGATAAATGAATCAAACAAGCCGATCGCGTGGAAAAGTGTCCAATCTTACCCTGCTCCCCAGCAAGTCACCAGACCACAACGTGCTTTCATACATATTTGCTTCTGGCTAAATTTGAGGCAGAATAAGATTGGTAGGTCTCTGCAGCTGGGATCTGAAGGCAGTGGGGCTGAACACAACTACCTCTGTCTTTGCCAAAGGATTTACAAAGCCAGTGGTCTACCAAAGGACTGGTTTTGACTGCAGAGGAGACTTTTTCTGAGGAACTCTGTGACCTTGGGTTGTGAAAACTACTCTTTTGAGGACTGGAATGATGCCAACAGGTTGTTTCTCACCTCTAAGCTGAGCCGGTTGGACCTGGTGGAGAGGCAGATACTGGGGGAAAGGATGTATCCAGAATTTTATAAGGTTTCCTGAATTCCTTCTGCAAAGCAGTACCAGCAGTTCTTAGAAATTTTAGTTCCTACACTATAAAGTTTGCACCTATGGAGAGACAGCCCTTTGCTCTTCCTTGCACACAGCATGTAGTACAATCATAGTAACGCTACATTTACCCAGCATCTGGCTTTGAAACTGGGTCAGTACAGCTCTATCCCAAATGCACAGGAGTTTAAAATACTCTCACCTGTCCTTAAAGAACCTTCGAAAACCAAATGCCACCAACTTCAGAACTGCCTCGAACACAAAAACTATGGTGAACACATAGTTGCAGTACTTCAGGGCTTCATCCAGGGACTGAAAAGAGAGAGACCAGTTAGACGAGCCCAAGATATCCTTTCCTAGAGCCCCTGCAGAGGAACTGGCAGGCACAAGAGTGGCATAGGCACAGAGATGTAAGAAGTAAAGTCCTAATAGCTTGCTGAGCTCAGTTACAAAACTGCACTAAATCACACAGCAAAACTCAAATAAAGGATTAGACACTGATGCAGACAAAAACCTCATAAGCACTAAAAGTAGTTGTGCTAAAAATGTCAAGAGCTATCAATCCTCCAAGTTCAGTGCAGAAATTGTTCAGTCTGGGTCAGAGAGAAAATTTTACCCCTTTGCCATCTAATAAAGTTTACTTCTTCTGAACTGCCTAGCCTTGAGTAGAATAAAAGACTTGATGGATCATTTCTTTATTCCAGCATGGCAATCCTTAGGACAATGGCTTTGCTTAAAACACTCAGAAAAATAAATAATGTTGGAGATGGATTAAATCTTGCCTTCTTGAAAAATGTTACATCTCTAGAGCTGGGCGAAGTATATCCATATTTGGTGCAATGTTCACGCTCTCTATAGAGTTGCTCTCGGAAGTCAGGAATCTGCAGTGTTTATACTTTAAGATGATGAGTGTTTATAATGGATTTCATTGGAACTGTAGGCCAACAATAGCAAAAGAATCTTGCTGGGACCTTAAAATAGATAGTTGCAGAGTGAAACAGCTCTTTGGTTGGGTAGAGATTTGGGGAGAGGAGGGAGGGAAGGAGAATTTAGTTAAATGTAGTCTAGGTCTCATGATAAAAATTGATAACAGTGAACATCAAAACAGACACAACTGGAAATAAAATGCAATAGAGGAGTCCACAAAGTAATGTCTGCTTTGTTGACAGAGAAAGCCTCAGGCCACAGGAAAGCTCTCCTCGTCACATTTGTGAGATGACTGTGCTTTGCTGATCCCAGATATGTGGGATGAACATGCACTGATTTTTTTGGGAACAAGAGCTGAAAGCTTTTCAGATGTTGGCATTCCTCAACGCACTACTACCCCTACTTTTGTTCCAGTGCCTAAAATAAAATGGCAATTTAAAAGAATGTGGGACAATTTGCTATTTCATTTGAAGCACACTGCCTAAGCCTGTATTTTTGTATCATTTGTGATGGTTTGCATTCAGATTTACACCACCGTGTTTTACATGGATGTAAAAAAAGTATAAATTAGACCTAATCTGGGTAAGTAACATTTACATGCAAAACAAAGGCTGTTATGCAAAAGAATTATGGGGCAGAAAAGCACACAGTCAGCTGGTGTAAAACACACAGGCATTACCCTGTGGCTTGGTGCCCCTCTGGCTTGGCTTCCAGGAGGCATTTGCAGGTTACCTGGCAGACCAGGAAATACTAGAAAAGTAAACAGTGAGCCTTGAGCTCCATGAAGGATAATGCTATCTAAGATTAATCTATGCGGCAAATGAACAGGCTATATGATTTATGCCAAAGGTTTTCTTGGGACAGAAGGATTTTATGATACATAAAGAAAAGACGGGTTGTACTTAAGAGTTGGTTTATGCTAAATTCATTGAGGAAAAGAAACGTTGCTCTGCATGCATTAACTGTATCTGTTAGTGGAATATTCTAAAATTCTGGACTGTTTTACTGTCTGAGGGTCAGTCACAGCTGGGATCAGGAGAGGAAATATTTGGACTGTTTTTTTCCTAGTAAAAGTTTAGTTCACTCTCCATTAGCCTTATTCTCTGTTTTTTATGCAAGAGCAGGGAAATCAAGCTTTTGGCTGAGGCAAATGACTCCCAAATGGTAGAGCTGGTCTAGAGTTAGACGGATTGCAGTGCTGAGTCTGGAGCCTGACGAGCCTTTCAAACACCAGGGAATGGTCCCAGGTCCAAGCAGGGCTGGCTGCAGACCTCACTGGTCAATGGTATCCCAAGGGAACAGCATATGGTCCTCAGGCCCTCTGCTACACCACGCTGCTGCGTTTCACAGCTGACACATTGATGGGTGGCTCTTACCTTTGGCTGGTTGTAGTGCTCCATCGACATAGTGATGACATTGACCCCAATGATGAACGTGATGAAGAGGTCAAGATAGTGGCTGGTGCAAAGGGTATGAATGTACTTCCGCGCTGGGGAATAGTCAGCATAGTAAGGCCTGCGTTGGGCTTCTGCAGAAAAATACAAAGAAAGGCAACGCAATGAACGCAGGCCCTGCTGCATGGTTGGCAGCCATCACAACGTGGCCTGTGGGTCGTGTCTTACACATGCCCAGATTCAGCACGTGGGAGACCTGATCCAAGCAAGCCACGTGAAATGGCCAAGTGCTTCTACCTAGAACCTTCAAGAACCATAGCAGGGTTATCAGGCTGAGCCAAACCTCTTGTGCCCGCAGAAGGGACCTCCATAGCTTTGACAACCAAGTCCGTTTTTCTCCCAAGTGCTCTCTGTTCTTACTGCTCTTTCTCAGGCTAGAAGACAACCTTTTCGCTTAATGGGACTCTTGTCACAAACCAGGAAGGTTGAGAAGCAGGAGGGAAATGAGACCCAAAGCCAAGAGAAAAAGCTTCAAATCCAGCAAAGCTTCAACTCCAGTTTAGAGGAAAGGCTTAGGGCAGGTCTCATCAGTCTGGACTCTGATATGCATCTCTCCTAATCGCACTGATGTCAGGCATGTTCCCCATAAGAGAGGAACATAACCTGAGCTCAGCTTCTGTGAAAGAAGGCTTTTGGTGTATTTTAAAGGTCTAAAGAAAACATAGCGATTCCTGTGGCAAAATAGGGCACATGCGTGAGGGTTAGGAGCACATGGGAGATCATCAACAGCAATGGAGCGGGGTGCTCAGGCATTTGTCTCTACAAAGACTATCAGCACAAGCTCCTCTGGAAATATAAAACCAAGGGCATGGCTGCATCTAAAAAACCATTCAGGCTATGACCACATGAATTTTATATCTGCCTCTGCTCGTGACTCCTCCTTTCTTCGCTTTGAAATGGGGAAATTTCTGCACGTGACCAAGTTCCCGGGGCTGTTCCAAGGAAAGTGTTTGGACACTGCCCTGTGACCGAGTTGTATTTACTGCGTGTGTGTCTCTTAAATTAGACTGTGACCACAAGATGGCTGTGGGCACTCGGATGGAGTCAAATTCTTTTCAAACTTAAGAAATGTAAATATTCAAAGAGTGTACTTAAGGCCAAAGTCAGCATTACTGTAGATTTTGCAAGTGGAAGAGACATGTTAGGTCATACTAAGTCAGAGAAGGATTGTTCTTAACAGAGAGGGGTTTTTGCAAATGTTTTGGCAAATGCAGCTTTAAATGCATGAGGAGCTGGGAAAAAGGAGTTGCTTCACCTTAAAAACAAGGAGGGAAATAAGTTCAAAAGTACTCAGTGCCCCCCTGAAATACATCTTCCACTCCTCTCATCTTGCTAATATCTTTCAGATGGAGTGACTCTTGAAATGTGGGGTTTATTTTTTTGGTAGTGCAACTGATGCCAGATTACAGTCCAAACCCCTAAAATAAATTGGATAAAGGGAAACTGAATCTGTTGCTCTCTTTCAACTATTATTTTTTCTGGTAGATAAAAGTGGAGTGGAGGAATTTGAAAAACATTTCCTTGTGACCAGGGTCATCTAGACTTATTTTTTCTGCTAATGGGTGTGGAAAAACAAGATGAAAGCAAACACAATTGTTTTTTAATACATTCTTCTCTTGCTTTCATGAGCCTTAGTCCTACCAGTCAACTTGGACTGGTAGGGCTGTCTTTGCCTCTGAGTTCGACTAATCTTCTGGTGCGTCTAAAAAATAATAATAAAAACATTGCAGTACAATATTTATTTAAGTCTGTCCAATATGCTTTCATGTGTATTCAGGATTACAACATACTTTTTCTTTTTTTTTTTTTGGAAATGTCTTCTTGGGAATGCAAAAAAATCAGCTTGTTGGGAGGTCTGAGAATACCCCAAATAGTCAAACATTATATTAAAGACTATTTATTAATAACTAATGGTTGATTAATGGCTCTCAGAAGAACATTAGCAGGGATGGGTGGTATGTGAATACACTGGCTGACAGCACATAAGAAAAACAGGCTGTACGTGATGGCAACTACCTCTAACCTGCCCAAATGCAGCCATTGATTAACTATTCAGCAAAAGATCACGTCTTTATTATGTTTTATAAACTACTTACATAATTCTAAAGCATAATCACAAGAAGACATTTCCCACTGTAAAGCCACTGAACAGAAAACCTTGTAGGCTGCCTGTCAGCTACACAGCTCTCTCTTTACACGGGCTGAATATACAAATAGTAAGGAGGAACCACCCAGCCGTAAAGGTGGGTCTGTTTTATTGTGTGAAATTGTCTCAGAGGTCTGTGTCTGTACACTCTGCCAGTGCTCAGTGCTGGCTATGCCTGGTCAACTGGTTGCTCAGAAAACTTGGGATACGTTTAACTTGACCTGGGGTGAGGGAGCGCTAGGAAATGCTTTACTCATTTAGGATGCACTACATCCCTGAAGCCAGGTTAACAGATGAAAAAGAAACTTCTCCTGGGGGGACACATACAAGGACAGTCTGGGATAAAGTTGACAATGCTTCGAAACACATGCAACAACACTGTCATGCTCAGTGCAGTAACCCATGCAATGTCCATTAGAGGAGATACCGCTCATGCGAGGCTAACAGGAGTGAGCAGGGGTGTGCAGGAAGGACAGGCCAGCTTCTGCTCTTGGCGATGCTGGTGTTAGGCCGGGGCGATCCCGTGAAGGCAGAGGGCTTGCAGCAGGGTGAAAGCAGCGAGCGATCAGCCACACAGCTTCACTGCAGCTCTGACCCGCTCTGAGCAGGAAGGAGGCTGCGTTTCAGACCTCCGAGGCCCCCAGCTCTGCTGGGTCACTGCTCATTCCTGGTCCCTTTAGGAACAGGAGCGTTACTTCAGTCAACAGCACAGCAAGTGGCTCTGGCCTCCTCTCAGTTCAGATGCACATTTTTAGCTCTTAGTCAGAAAATACTATGTTATTCTGCCCAGTTTGGGTCTAAGTGTTCACTGTACACACCTACTGCTACAGCCTGCTCAAGCAGAGACGTGGGGTCTGCAGGAGAACCTGTGTGAGGAGAACAGCAGATATTGGGATGTGGGCACAGCAAACGGAGATCTAGTGCATCATTAATTACAGTAGGTAAAATGTAACCTGTGCCTGGTTTCTCCAGGGAAATGGTTTCTGGGATGAGACTCCAATCAGCCAACTAGCAGACTTATATCAAACACAGACAAGTATCCCTTCAGCTGCAGCTGATCGTTTGAATTGGTGGAAATGCAGGAGGGAAAGGAGAAACCATCAAACATATGCAAAAGGAAAACCACAGTCCTTTCTTGCCCCCATTTCTAGATGTTGGCTAATGCTTGAATCTCACCTCTCTGAAGAGTATTTAAACTTCTTTGCTTGTGATTCTGCTGACATGAAAATTAATGAAGCACTGTCTCCTAGCTTAAAAGCATTTAGGTTGGCATTACAATTGCTAGCTACAGCTCCTCTATTATTCTCCTCTGCATGAAACATTAGAAAGCCCTAATGGGTTTATATGCATGCTTGGCACAGAGTAGCTCTATACCTGCAGCTGCCTGGAAAAATAAGCAAGATGGTTTGATAATTCCCTAGTTGGAAATACTAAACACTCAGATATGCAGTGCCCAAAATTTTAGTTACAACTCAAATGTTTCTGCTGGATACAGAGATGATTGTGGCATTGAGAGGATGGACTAATTTAAATACCGCTGTGTGCTGCCCATGATTGTTCACCCCTGGAGAGAAAGGCTTACAGTCTTTGGAAGGCATCTCTGCTGGGTCTTAAAACAAAACTGGCCTCTTCCTCCTACAGTGCCCAGACGCTCAGCTCTGTGTCGGGAAATGCCTCAGAGAAACATGGCTGTGGCCACGCTCTTCTCATACAGAGTGGAAATCAGGCAAAAGCATTTCCTTTTCCGAGTTCTTAGTTTTTGGGGTCCTCAAGGGACTAGTGACTTGGTGACGCTACTGAAAGGCACTCTCTGCTCCCCAGCCAGGGCCTCCCCTGGGCTGCGTCAGGCATTTCCAGCCTTTCCAACATTGCCTGCACTGCTTTTGGCATGCAGTGTCACCCAGACCCTGCTTGCAGCCTTTGAAACCCAGAGCACTGCCTGCGTTTGACCTGACATCGTGCTCTGCTCACAGCAGATACAGGCAGGTTGGATTTGGCCCCATATCCTGAACGCAGAGGAGATCAAGCCGATCCATGTGGTTTTAATCAAGAACTTTGATCTGGGGAGGCTTGTTTCGGTCTGTGTCTTCTGAGAACCTCATTAAAAGGTTAGGAGCTGCAGGATTATTAAATTACACTACACTTATTTATATAGTAGATATAGTGGATGGAGGTAGTGACTGTGTCAGAAAAATATCCTAGTTTATCTTGAATTTTTACTTTCACATGAAAAAGTATGCTGCGCAGTTCTGCCTTTAAAAACACATCAAATGCATTCTATGGCATATTCAACCCCCTGCCCTCTTTTCTCACGTGAGCAGAATTAACTGGCGAACCCAATGCCTTCTTTCAGTGGTGGCCCTGGCCTCAGATGAGTTAATCTCAGCCCAGTCGTGAAGGCTGGGCCCTGCGGCTGCTGCTGCTCTGTCGAGGCAGCCCACAGTGACGTGCCTGGCTGATAACTTGGGTCCATGAGCTCCATTGCTGGTGCCTTGAGTGATGCTTCTCACAGGAGCAGAGGGAGTCAAGGCATGCTAACAAGGGGCGTGGGGTGTCACCCTGTCCCAATCCCTTCATGGAAGTGGCCCTCAGAAACTTTTTGGAAAGGTCTGAGGTGCTGTCTGACAGCAGGAATGGGGGCTGAGACGTACCTTCCTGCCAGGCTCCTGAAAGGCCTGAAAAATACCCACAAACCAGACACATGATGATTCTCCATCCCACCCGCGTGGGGGCTGATGAAGGAGCCGTGTCCTGCTCCAGGGCTGTGTCCTCCACGGAGCAATCCCTCTGCCAGGCTCACAGCTCTGCACACAGGGTCCAAATCCTGGACCCAGCCTGCAGAGCCTGGCATTTGTACCCAGAGCCTGCTTGGATGGGACCATCCAGGCACTGATAAGCTGAGGTTTACCCCATTTCCAGGCCTGAGCCCAAGCCTACTATGGCTCAATGGTGCGTTTCTGTGTGTATAGGTACCTACAGATGCCCAAAGACCTCAATACACAGAAACACACACAGGGTTGCTACACACAGAGGACATTACAGACAGGAGACGAAGACAAGATGCCAGGTAGACGGGGTGAGTCCAGATGGACAGGCATTGCTCGGATAGTACATCTGTTAGCTATGCTGGATTTTACTCTCGTTAACAGCGCTAATTCTTCCTCCCTTTATGGTCTCTTCAGGCCAAATGCTAGAAGAGCAGCTAAAGGAAAAGCGGGGCTCTCTGCTAGGCTTTCCAACATAGGCTCCTTGCTTCTCCGCAGAATCACTAGTCTTGTGTGCCCATCCTGCCCCATGGGGACTGGCCTCTCCCCCACTCCTCCATATGGGTAAGACAGACAGCGCTGGGGCACATGGAAAGCTGGCCAGCCCGCCGTCACCGTGCAGCATCCCATGCCTGCATGAGCACACAGACATGCCCCCACAGAGACTCTACCACACACGGCACCAACCACATCTCACATCTTTCTGAGTCTGCCACATTTTTTCACCAAATCCATCATCTTCTAAATTACCCAGGAGGTGAAAACTCCTCCCATTTAAATTTAAAAAAAATCCATTAAAATGTAAAGAGTAATCTTCCAAAATGTGTATCAGATATTTGATTTCACGTTATTAGCAACTGGAATTTGGATGTCAAGCTGTCCATGCTGAACAGAGGCAGGTAGGAGACCTCAGAGCCAGATGATCTGAGGTAACCTCCTGGAAGCCCAGCACATGGCCAAACATTTAGCCTCTCAGTTGCTATACTGGATTTGATCACCTTCCAGAAAGCTGTCCTCCTCCCTGCATGCTCTCAGTGAAATGTTACAACCCACATCTGTGCAATGCCTGGGTCTGCGGTCTGAAATATCTCCTTGACTCTATCCTTCAAGATAGCAGGATAAAGAGGGTCAATGTAACAGCGTCCATCACTTTAACAGGAACTGGCTCTTTTCGGTGTCTAAGCAGGGAGCCACAGACAGGCTTGTAATAAGATTTACTTACTAATCAGGAACAGCAACTGTCTGTGGTTAAGCTATCCCTCCTTACCTGTGCCCCAGCCTATTTTCTCTAAGGATGCTTAATGTTCTTTGTAAATAAACTTTTTTTTTTTTCATATAAACTTTGCGTTTATCTGAATGTCTTCTTGGATCAGCACATTGGGGTAGAAATACTGAATAAGCAGGAGGACTCCTGAGAGCCTGAAACTGATTTCTCTTGTTGTGCTGGAAATGCTGCCTTCAGGATTTCCACTTCTAATCCTAGCTGGAACCTCAAACTCAAGAACTTAAATGGAAAAAGGGAAATGAAACTGCATTTGAACTCTTCTACATCTCTGAAAGATTCAACGACTGTTTGCAGCTGGCTAGTTTGATCTAGATTTCATTTTAACCCAGCTACTTAACTCACAACTAGCTAAAATGAAATGGGCTTGGCCTTCACTGTGGTGTCAGGTCAGTCTGTCATTAAGGCCTTGTGGAGACCATGGTGCAGACATTTAGTGCCCAGGTCTCCCATGGCTCTAATAAAGAGGACCACAAGAGCAGGAGAGGAGCTGCGAGGGATACAGCTGCCTGCCTTCTGACTCAAGCACGGATGGATGGAGGCAATTGGCTGGGGTTTCTACTAGCAAAGCCTCTGACTGCTATGTCCTTAGAGCCAGGCAAAAGACTATTCAATCTAACTGCAGTTTTCCCAGCTGAAAATGGATACCTACGGCTTGATGTTTGGGACACAACTAGCCATTTTTCACAATGAGATATTAGGTCTTTACAGGAGATTACACAAGGCAGCACAGTGCTAGGCAAAGAGCCACAGGGCTCCTGTGGCAAGTGGGCCAGAAGCACTCAAGTCTTATCCCTGACTAAGCTCATCTTTGATCACAGTGGCCAAGCCATGTTCCCTCACTTACTTCTAAAAAATGCTTGCCAGCATCTGATGCAGGCTGTCCCTGTTCACTAAAACTGTCTGGGAAGTCAGTGCGGCTGGTTTCCTGGCAGTTTTCCTGGGAATACCCACCAGATGCTATAGGCAGCTTGTCCCTGGTGGAGCCTGCCAAGCAGCAGTGCAGGTGAGAATTAATACATGAGAACCCCTGGGAAGGTGTGGGTCAGGAAAGGAGCACAAACTCAGGTGTTTTTCTGGTCTGGTCTGATGGTCCCTACTAGATCCACTAAGAAGCAGATTTCAGCTAAAGGCCTTCTGTTGCACCCTAATGGCCCTGCAACGGGCCAGTATTTCCATGTTGACTGTTTGCAAGGACAAACTGAGTCCCAGCACATTGCTCAGCAGTGAAGGGCTCCCCCAGCCTGTGATGGGGCAAGCATCTCTTGTAATGGACATCTCCCAGAGAAGAATTTTCTGGACAGCCCCATCTTGGAGCTCCATTCTTCTCCCCAGGGCTGTTGGTGTGTTCATGCCCTCATGCAGCATGGTTGTGGCATGCGGGACCATGCGCTAGGACTCTAAAAAGCATCACAATTATTTTGTCTAAGAAAATAATTAATAAATCAAACCACCACCATCGTCAGATGCAAGCGGCACATTAAGTAACAGGGCTACCCTCAGGACTGGCCTTCACGCACACAGTAAGCATTGCAGCTGTTTACTCCCTGCATCCCTCAGTCGCACCATGAGCTCCCGCTCGGTGCTTGGGACACCTTTGCCTTGCAGAGCATGATAGAGGACTCTGCTCGGAGGAGGATTTTCTCCCCAGCCAAGTAAACAGGTAATGCTTTATGTCAGGCTTGTAGAGGACAATTCCAGGGTATTGGCAACCCAAGACTTAAGGTACCGCCAAAGAGGTAACGAAGCAAAACAGCCTCTTGAATCCCATGGAAACAAAACCAAAGGAAAACAAAAGTCTTGCTTTGGGAGCAGGCAGGGCTCAGAAAGATTTTGGTTTGTAACGCAGTCTACCGACCAGACAGGTATATCTCCTTACTCCTGCGCTTTTTCTCCAAGCGTCTCAGCCGCTTCTCCTCCCGACGCCGGGCCTCCTCCGCCTCCTGGTGCTGTCGGCACTTGTGAAAGTTCTCCACCACCACCCCCACAAACATGTTGAGCACGAAGAAGCTGACGATGAGCAGGAAGGAGATGAAGTAGAGAAGCATCCAAGGGTTATGGTTCTGGATGGGCTGGTGAGGTGAGGAATAGAAAACAAGACAGAAGAGAAGAGAAGCGGCATAGACAAGTGTGTAAGTCAGGATATTGGGCACTCTGTAGCAACAAGACAGCACAGTACACTTTTGTGGGGAGGAGGAGAGGGCTGAGAGGAGTTAAGAGATTTTTCCCAAAACAGTTTCCTCTCATTCACTTTCTCACCGACTAGAATTTTACTTTTGTTGTGAAACCCACACTAGCGTCCACAATTTGTCTTACAGGATTTAATTATTTTGGCATTTATTTCATACAGCTTAAAATAAATCTCAGTGGATGTGCATCATTCCACCTGCATGATCATTTTAGTTTATGATAGGCTCCAGCTTATTTTTTTTGAGATGTGTGCTCATGGTTAACATTTCTCAGTCGTTATGGGATCTTCAGAAGCAGGAGAAAATTTAAGTACAAAGTGTTACTGTAGCTGCGATGGGGTACTACTCATCTAAGACTCTTGACTTTCCTTTGCAAATGCCACGTAACACACAAACTTAACAATGTCCTTTTCATAACATTCCTGGTTGTTTCCCATCTTGTGAGAGTTTACTTATATTCATCATGCCTTCCATGAAGCTGCAGTGCAATGGCACGTGTGGCCCTTCTCAAGTATCATCATTCTAATTAAAAACCCCATCAGTACTTGTTTGTCTACTACATGGGGCACATCCACTGTAAAAGTTACTCAATGGAGAATGTAAAACCTTGGCAGCCCAATGAGCAGTCAGGACCTCAAGAAGGTCCTATAGCTCTGCTCCTTCCTGGGACTTCAAAAACACCAGAGTCATCCAGGCATGAGACTTCTGAGAGCAACACATCTGGACTCTGCAGTACATTTACCTGTTGGTCAATACCCACGGCATCCAAACCATCATACATGATGTTCACCCAGCCATCTTTGGAGGAGAGGACAAACAAGGACATGAGGGCCTATAAGAAAACAAACAAACAAACAAACAAGATTAGTCTTGCATTTTAGTCCCCAGAGAAGAAACCAACAACAGACAATGTTCAGCAAAACCAATCCACAGATCATAACACATCATCTGGCTTGGAGTTGGTGGAGAAATGCAACATATTGTGACTTGCTTTTACCTATTTCCATATCTGGCTTAAAAGTGATCAAACTATGGTCATTAATGCTCCTTTTCCCTCACATATAGGTTGACTTTTGCTCAGACACATCAGGCTTTCTGGTCACCAAAGCATGATTAAAAATCAATATTGCAGGCTGGCCCAATGTCATGGGGTTTTAAAAAGCAAAAATATATCCCAGCTCCTACTATGGGCTGTCTTGCTTTTCAGCCAGTATAAAGCATCTTATTTTTTTCATTTGCAAACATAACAGCTAGAAGTCAAGAGACTAAAAGTGACAGCTGTGGTCCATACATGAGGGACTGCATGCAAAAGCAGTGGCTTTAAGACAACACCCTCCTATAAACAAGGAATTGTATAACCCTAGGAAGTCTGGCTGCAAGAGATGAAGTGGTGACCTGATCCATATTTACCCAGTTAGGTTTGCTTCTGATAGATGAATGCCTATGTCGTTCTTGGAAACTTCCTATGACAGATGTTCCACACCCTCCTCAAGGAATACATTTTAAGTGTTCATCCTTTAAAAACTGGTATGGAAAATCCCTGCAATAAGGATTTTACCTGTCCCAAATTGTCAAAATTGTACTTCCGCCGAACCCATTTGTAGCGTGCGTTAGTGCAGTCAGTCTTTGTAGTGATGTTTTTTACATCAGGACCATCACAGTAGTAGAACTTGCCTTTAAAAAGCTGTATTTGAGAAGCAACAAAAAAAAAGAAAAAAACAAAAAAGAAGCAGCTTTGAAAGGTCTGTCCCCTGATTTATCTGTCTTTCCCCTAGTAGAGTGGTTTGCCAAGTTCAAATTCCTTTCCTTTCCTTCCAGCTCACATATCTGTCTTAAGACACAGGGCAGGAAAAGACCTCTGGTGAAACTTCAGGCCCTGAGATATTACTGCATATTGCTCCAGACACAGAAGGAAGGTGATCCTGCAGGCCAGCCCTGTCTTGTTGGGAGGATGACAATCTCCTCTCTGAGGAAGAGGTATTATATATATCCTAGCACACAGAGCCAGGAGGGATCTTGGGAATTTGTCTTCTCCTTCCCCTACCCTCAGGCAGGCTTAGCTGGTGCTGTGTTATTCATCAGGGAGGTCTGCTCTTCTAATCCTGAGAGCCTTCCAATGAGCAGATGCTAACCCCACCCCAGAGCATTTCTTCTAAGGCCTGGCTCTGCTTTCCTAACACCTAACTGAAATCTTCCTTTGGAGACATTTAAGCTCGTTACTTCCACCTTAACCCCAGGTGGTGAGAAAAACAGCTTCTCTTTTGCAGCAGTCACTTACAGATGGCTGTGGTGAGGGAAATACTCTACCTGGACGCCTAAAATCCCAAAGATAATGAAGAAAGCACAGCAGATGAGAACAATATTCCCAATAGGCCTCAAGGAGGAGATCAAGGTTTCTACCACCAACTTCAGACCCGGGGCTCTGCTGATGACTCTGGAAAAAATGGCAAAACAATAAAGCTTTTAATTTTTATGCATGCCCTGTTATTATATGGTTGCTTTTCCTCCTCTGCTTGGGCTGCAGTAAAGCTAACACAACCCTCCCCTACCTGCAGGCAGCATTCAGAGACAGTTAGTGACTTATTTGGACAAGCAGAACATTCACAGTCACATTAGATGAAATTAAAAAAGTGTAAGACACCCTGACAGCAGGGTGTTGGGCAATTGCTTACTAGTAACAATGACGAGGGAACGCTCTCTATGGGCAGAATATCAAGAGGTTCCCACTACAGGGTTATTTGTACCTCAGTCTAGAGAGCTGATCCCCTCTGAGGTCTCTCTGATCCAAGCAGAGGGGCACACACCAGGCAGAAGCTTGCTTCCTAACACAACACATCTAAACAGCTTCACAGTGGTACTAGAGAGCATGTCTTGTCCTCTTTCTACAGGCATAAGTGCTCACCTCCCCTACTGGCCTGAGCCCCATGACAACTTTTCAAACAAAGTAATTTCAGTTTGTTTCCTAATTAGTTCCTGAACTGACTCTTAGCTAACAGGAACTTGTGATCAACAGCTCCACAGCCAAAGGGTCATCCCATTAAAGAGCAGCTTGCTTGCTTGCTGTGAGGCCATGAGAGGCCAGGCATGCTCTGAGCACGGCCTGAAGTAGCTTTTGGGTATTATGGAGAACAAGCGTTTTCCTTTCCTGTATGAGCGCCTGGAGAATGGCTCTCCCATGGGCGTCTGAAAAATGTGTTTGCACTCATAAGTGTAACTAGCCCAAGCAAGCTTTTCTGGGAAGGCGGGTGTTTTGACTGAAGAACATCAAAGGGTTTTTTTGGAGGGGCCTGTAGAGGGGAGAGGGTATGAGTCCTTGCAGGTAGCTTGAGCTTGCACGGCTAATGATGCTTTCATGCCTGCCAAACACAGAGAAAAGAGGAGAGTTGTATGCTGCAGGGACAAAGCATTTCAATAGGGTCTTATTTGGCAGCAAATAATGTAGCAGTCTGAACTGCACCTACAAAGTGTTAGGAATGGTCCCTGGAGTAATCCTGGAAGAGGCTGTGATAAGTGAAGCCATTGTGAGAGGTGATGAATTCCTCTCTATTAATAGGATCTGGCCTAGTTATTCTCCATGACCAATTCCTTTTTTTCCCCTTACGTTTACTTACTTATGAATTGCCTATGCCTTGATTTCTGTTCCTACTTATGCGTGTTAGATAAATGCCTCGAGGCGCTGCCAGGCCAAGGCTTGTGCAGGGTGACCCAGAGTGGCTCCTGGTGAGCCAGCACTACAAGGGGATCCCGATGCCACCAGCAGAAGAGAGCATGGGAGCAAGAGAGGAGACAGAAACACTCACAAAGTTATGTGTCACTAAGGAAATACAGAGCAGCAGACAAATAGCTGTTGTTCTTGTGGTCATGGGCCTAAACAAGATTGCCTCTTCTGATTATTGTCATAAGCAAGCAGCTTTTCATCAGAAAGCCTACAGGTCTCAGGAGGTGCCTATCTTATTTCCCCTGAAATTTCATGAAAAAAGGCTTGTGTTTCTTGCCAAGCAGGATGGAAGCAGAACACAGGAGCTGTGAGCTGATAAAAATCCCCCAAGCATCAACACTCTTTGTTATTGCATAATTGTAAACAAAATACAAATTCTCTTTATTCCTTTTCTCAAATACTGAAAGTGCCTCCCCTTCCTCTTCCTAGCCAAGAACTAAATTGTTTTGCAGTAATGTTAGATATGCAGGCACAGGAGAACAGGTATAGATGCTGGAGCTTATCAAATTATTGTCAGCACCTGTTCAATAGCAAATTTTCTCCCAACCAAGGCAACCTCTTTGCTTGGGAATGACTATGAGGTTGTGCAGTTTAACAAGGAGCCAGACTGATTTGTAAAACGGTGATGAAAATGCAGCATGGAGGAGGCATTCACTGCACTAACTGCCTGAGTACAATAACACCTGTCACTCCAAACTCCATCCGCTTTTTTTTTGTGCTGGAGAAGTTGAGTTATATTATAACTAATTTCACTGTTTTCAAACAGTTTCACTACATAAGAGCTCCCCAAAGATGATTCTACCCATACTGTGTTTCAGCTTTTTGTGTTATTAAGTAAGACCTTGATGGCTCATGTGCATTTTTTCAAACTCCTTGATCTATCAACACTAAGAAAACTCAGCCACCCTATTGGTGAACATACCGGAGGGGTCTCAAGGTCCGCAGAAGTCTCAAAACGCGAAGGACACCCAGGATCTTAGCTCCGCCTGCCGATGCCATGGAGACAATAATGTCAATGATAGATACAAAGACCAGGACTCCATCCAGGACATTCCAGCTGCTCTGCAGATAGGTGTTCTCCCCAGAGAAAAAGCCAAGAGCTACCACCTACAGCCAGGAGAAGAGAGACATTTAAATCTTCACCCAGATCATAACTATGTCATGTTCTGGTCTTTGCCAGGCCTCACTAAGGGCCATGGGATGAAGATATAATTACCTTAACCATCATTTCAGCCACAAAGATTGCAGTGAAGATGTAATTAGAAACACTTAGGAATATCCTTTCCTGTAAAACATAGAACAGCAAAGAGGCAAGTTATTTAAAGGTGTTAGAAAACAAACATCTTTCATCTTGCAGGGTCTTGCCCTGACAAGACTAAGATCTGGATGCTGGATCAAGGAAGAAAATGATTCAGGTACTCACCGTGCTGTGTGGGTCTATGTCTGGTCGCTCCAGTGCTATAGTGATGCAGTTGAGAAATATGAAGACCAGCACCACGTGATCGAACATTTTGTGGGCAATGACCTTCTGGCACATCACTCGGAACCTGAAGAAATGGTGGGGAAAAAAGTATACATTAGATGTTTGGGTCAGCGAGAGACTCCCACCTGAATGGCACGTCCTTGAAAGTCTTTGGCAGCTGTGCCACCAGCATCAGCCCAGGTGGTGAGCTAGACTCTCCACAAGCTTCAGCCATTATTATCAATGCAGTAAACAAGATGTAATAACAGCTATTATTAATGCTGGTTAAACCACCCTTCTTCCTAGACAGGCATAGGGTGAACCATGCAACAATTCTGCCCACATGTAACAGAAGAAGTTACCTAAAAATCAGAAATTGGATTTCTTAAACTCTCAGTGCTTCTACATCAGAGAGGGATTTTTCTCAAGGGAAGGCTAACTAGAATTGTAGTATTTCATTACCACAAAAACCTAGTGGGCTGGCATTTCTTACCGATTCTGTGGGGAAAACAAGTAGAGGGACCAGTCTTCATGACTCTTGCACCACTGTGGTTTGTAGGGCTCCAGGACTTTACGAATTCGGTAGCAGTAACTCTGGATAGAAAAGAAGAAACACCTTTTCTTCCTCTTTTATTTTCCTGCCTCTTCAACTTTCACAGTCCTTTTGTGAAAGAGGGCAGCACATGACATTTCATAGCGCCTGTAGGGAGTCATGGCTTTTGGGACAGAGACGTGGCAGGCATTGTCACATTTGTCCAACAAAACACAGAGGAAAGGGGTGGAAGGGGCTGCTGTACAGTAAGATATGAACATAACAAAGCAAGACTTTCTAGGCAGGTATCATTTTGACATTCAAAGTTGTGTCAAAACCAAAAAGGACTCAAACAACCAAAAACTTAAATAGGGAACACTCTAGGCTTTCAAGCCTTTGAGATGCCAAACAGCTCTCGTGAGCACAGACATTAGCTATCTCTTGTGTCTACAGCTCATTTTTGGAGGCAACCTGGGCCAGGGGGACAATCTCAACCAGTTCAAAAACTAGGCAAATGCATGCACAACCCCTTGCAGTTTTACCTCGTTAGAGACCACTGCAAGGTAACAGCCCAACCCATTAATATAAAAAAGCCTTTTGCGAAATGGATGCCCATCCGGATCTGGATTCATTTTGTCTACACCAGCCATTAGGCAGTAACACATGTCAAAGCCTGATTTTTAATCAGCCTTCTTGGACTGGAAAAGCCACTTAACGCATGAGCACCCAATTTCCCCCTCAACTCACATCCTCCATGTCATCCTCATAGTCCATAGCATCCTCCTTGTGTCCATCAACACGCAGGAAGAACTCGCTGGGGACGTGAACCATCTTGCCGTTACAGTCTTGGTACTCGGCAGGCAGAACGGCCACGGGGCTGATACTGAGTGAGTGGCGCATGGTGGGCAACTGAAACAGCTCAGGCAGGTCCAGGGAGCTGCGGTAGTCCAGGGACTCTGCCCGGCGGTGCAATGAGGGCCTGCTGACTGTGCTGGACTTGGCGTCATCAGAGTCATCGTCTGTGCTGCCTTTTCCCTCCCCAGAGAGCAAGGACTCTCTTTCTCCTGACTGGTTCTTCTTCTTGAGGCTCGGGGCTCTGCCCAGGCTGTTCCAGCTTGAGCGTCGGCTTCCCCAGTTGCTGCTGGTGCCCCAGTTGGCGCAAGGGGAACTGCGGAGGCTGGACTGAGAGAGGAAAAAGACATTTGAGGGTTTGTTTGCAGGAGGAAGCCAAAGGATATAGCATTTTGCCCAGACTGGAAGACCCTTCTTATTGCAAGTCATGTCTTCCCCTTCCAGCTTTCCTCACTGCTCTGATTTCATCATGCCAATGCCTTGAGATGGGAGCCAAGCACCCAGCTAATCTCACACTGAAGGTACTCCTTGAACTATACCTGTAGCACAGCTACCAATCCTCTGTGCTGCATGACTTCCTACTGTCCTGGCTGCATTAACTGTGCATAAAAACTGAACCCAAAGACACTATTGCTGAAGTGGCATTTTCTTTCCTCATGTTCAAGTGGCTTCAGCACACAACTTCCCTGGCTTCCAGAGGGACTCTGGCACCTAAGTCACTCAAGTGTCTGTTGGAAATTGTGCCCCCATTTGCATTACTTTCTCTTCAGTTTGCTGCATAAGGAGATGGAATGAATGTTTCTCTTACAGCAAATTTCTGGCACTGATAGGTGTGTGAGTGCACTTTGGCTGGCAGGTAGTTGCCAAGATGAGAGCACTTAAGGTCAGAGCAGAAAGGCTAGAAGGAAATCTCCTTTTCCCTCCATGGCTTCCTCCCAGCACAAAACGAGGCAAACTGCCTTCCTCCTCCTTCTCAGCGTTGGCCAGCTCTCCTCTGACTGCTTTATCTTCCTTTGGCTGGTGGCACTGATGTGCTCTCACAGAATGGATTCAAACCATGAACAACCCTTTCCAGCAACTCACAATCCCATGAAACCCCAAGGCAAACAACAGTCATCTCTATTTTCTTTTCAAAAGCATTACCTTGACTAAGCAGCTTACCAAAGGGGATAGTGGCTCTGTCTCTATGTGAAGTGCCTTCACGGTCTGCTGCCTTGATTTGAACATGATATTGCAGTTACAGAGCAGAGGAATGGGATAGATAAGCAGCAGCAGAAATCCACTTTGTCTATTAACTCTGCACCCTCTGTTTTCACAGAGCTGCCCTCCTGCTCCCCTGTTGCAGGCAAAATGCAATCAGTTGCCAAAGCAGTCAGCTCCAGCCAAATCTCTGCTCCATGAGCTGTGCCTGGTGGCAATCGGTCAGCTACTACCTCATTTCCTTTGTTTCCCCTCCAATGGGGCTGCTGTACTGTAACTGGAGCTCAGCTGCTGTGTTGGTAAGGACAAATGCTTTATTTCCCTTGACACAAGGTGGATTCAAGATGCAACCCTAAAACACTGTGGGGGGAAATAGGCCTCATCCTCACAGGAGCACTTGACAACTTCTCCAAGACACCACAAAATGGCCAGTGTGGTTGGCAAAAGGTGCCTGCTCCTCCTCAGTGGGGTTTGCTGGAATAACTGCATGAACTTATGACTTGTCTCAGGTTGCGTCTCTCCAGTGGGGTGGCTTGGCATGGACTTCCAATCAGATATTAGGCAGGAAGACACTGAATCCCAGTACATTCCTGTCTCCCCTCTTCATATACTCTCTGTCCTTGACTGTTATGTTTCTTCCTCTTGACTCTGTTCTCCTCCTGACTTTCCACATACTTCTCACCTCTATCACCCGTCTTCTTTTTCTGGCAATGCGTGCACGCACACACACACACATATATCATCTATGCTGCTTGCAGGCACTTGAGGGAGAGTTGTTCACAATAGCAACCTACCAAGGACTTCTGATCGTAGCTCAAGGGGTCTAGCGAGGCGTTACTCCCTCTCCTCGAGTCCACAAAAGAGTGCACTGAATCCATGTGTGGGGAACACTTTGGTGTGGGCATCGGTGTGGCAGCAGTGCGCATGATTATAGGAGGTGGCATGCTTCCCCTGCCCTCCAGGTGTCCATTTGGGGTGACAGCAAGTGAGTACATCTTCATCTCTGGAGAGAAGGGGAGAGAGAATACAAGGTGAATGCTCAGCTACAGCTACAGAAATCATTCTTCAGAATGGACATTGCTCCTTGGGTCTTCTAGGAACTCTGCCAAATGGAGATGAAATGTTGTGGGCAATAAGATCACCCCCACCGTGCTCAAAGGCATAAGGCAAATGTCACAACCTTTTAAGAGGTCTTCAGCCCTGCCTGGACTTGGAACTCGTTGCCCTCCAAAGGAAGCTTCTTTTGTTCACTGTTTCTTGGGCTTTAGAGAGCGGAGCTACAGTTCTGGGGGACTGGGAGAGAGTTTCTGGGGAAAGGACATTGAGGACTGGCTAAATTCACCCTAGGAAGTTAATCTCTTCTTCTTGTGATACAGTCTTACACAGAGATTTTTATGCAGTTCTGATGTGGTCTAAGTTCTTTCATGGGAAGACACTAAGCAAACATTAGTCATTGTCTTTAGTCATCTGTTCAGAGGAGAGGAAATGGAAGTTGCTTTTACATATCCAGCCATCTAGAAGAGTAAAATTCTCTGTAACAGAGAAATCTAATGGCACATCTCTGTGGTAATTATAGAAAGCACCTATTTTAGCTGTATGGCAAGTACAGACTGCAAAAACCATATTCACACTGAAGACAAACCAGACATAGCACCTCCAGCCCTATGGAGTGCCGTAATACTCAAAACCAAAAGCCTAATTTCAAACACAAAACTAAAGTTGAACTAGCTCCTATCTTACTGGGCTTAGTGGGTTCTGGTTTAATAACTGCAGAATCATTCTTAAGGAGGGGGAAGAATGGTAGCATCTGCAGCCAGCAGGAAAGAAGTCCAAGTCTGCAGTGAGAAATCCAAGTGAGTGCATTACCTCTGCTATTTCTCCTCCACTGCTTTTGTAATGCAGTGTGCTTCTATTGTATCATCTGTTTAGTTGCTGGCTTGTGCACAAATACCTGATCTGCACCACAGGAGTCCATGGGAACACTGCCATTCACTTTGAGGGGTGGAAGATCCAGCTCAAAATTTGCTAATCTGCAATACACATTCCTCTTGCCAGTGTATCTGTCTATAGACCAGTGACACTGTAATAGAATTGTTAATGTCCTTATGCTGTTTAGTCACCGGTTGGCATCTATGAGGCTTATGGAGACACACAATTACTCATGGACGTTGACTGATGGCAAATTCATCCCTGTTTTCTATTCCTGTGTTACCTGAGAAGAGGTGACAATATTTCTTTCCCCTAGAACTCTCTTACTATTTGAAGCTGCTCAGCAAATAGTTGGTGCAAAGCTGGTGCATAGTTGGTGCTGTGGGTTCCTTGTCAACTATTTGCAATGGACATTCTTTTGATCACTTGGTGTTTGGAATTTGTTGCTTCACCTGCAGACTGAGCAGCTCCATCACCTTGCTGTGATCCAGCTCTGTCTCAGCTTCCCCAACAGATTATTTCTGCCCTTTCCTCAGTTGAATTCCATCTGCTCACCACAATCAATATCATTTCCTTAGCCAAAACGAATCCTGGTTTAGAAGCATTTAAACTAATCCTAACAAGACCCCAAGCCAAGAATCAAAGTACAGAGGAACTAAACTGGCTCTTGTTTACCATCAGGCTATTCACTCTGTTAAAATGTGTGATCCCTTCCTGTCCCCTGTCTGGTTGCAAACTCTGCAGAGCGAAGGCTGTCACCTACTATTCCATGTTTATAGTACACTAGTACAATAGGGCCTTACTTCAAATCAATTGCCAGGCCCTCCTGTAACACAAATGAACAGCAACATTTCCATCAATCAAACCTCACCTAAATGCATTTGTGTGAGAAACCAAAAAGAACAGATGAGAACATGATTGATTTGAAAAGCTGCTGAGAAGTAGTGTGAGAATATTGCTGTCAGCAAACCATTCTGTGGTAATAATACAGAAGAAACAATGAGACACATCTAAATATTCTAGTAGAGTTTAAATAAGAAAAACATCTGTTTAAAGGAAGTATCAATGCTCATTTAGCTTTCCTAACACTTTTTGCATAGAGCACTTTTTGCTCTGTCAACATAGCTATCAGATTAATTGCCAAATAAAATGGATTCTTCCACTTTCTGCCTTAAGTTTCTATGAAAAGATGACTGTGGAAGCAGAGTTGTAACTCTCGGATTCTCAGGGAAATGTAGAGACAAAATCCTACCTGTTGCTCGGAAGTCTTTTAGCTTCTCAAAATCATCATCAAAGTTGGCAGATGTCTTGTCCTCATCTGTGTCTGACCTATTGGCATCACCCTGCAGGGAGGAGAAGGATAATTAACAGACTTGATTCATTTAAACTTTAGCACAAAGGCCGTTTGGGTTACTTAGCAGCTCAGAGATACCTCAGCTCCTCATGGTTAGTTTAAGTGTGGCCCCAAGAACTGAGGGCAGAATGCCAAATTCCCTCTGACACTGTCCTGGGGAATGACCCCAGGTAAGTCCCTCTTCCTTGTTTTGATTCATTTTCATACTTGGACAGAAAGGATGATGTTGTGATTGTGACTACTGTTCCTGCAACGTTGTCGTGTTTCCTACACTGCACTCAGCCTCACTGAACAGCGTATCCCAGGGGAGAACATGAAAGTGCAGCTGTAATCAGAGTGAGTAAGAAAAATTGGCATTGTGGGGCTCCATATTTGCATTCTCCATGATCCCAGCTGAAAGCACTTAGGTTTTAATGTCAAAGGATGTCAAAGGGTTTTTCTTCTTTATTTGACAGCACTATAAATTTGACTTAGACCTGAAAACCCACCCCTGATTTGCTTTCTTCACGCTGGCTGGTAATTGAGATTGTATTGGGAAATCTCTTGGCAACATTGAAGCTGTGACAGAAGGGAAAGAGGCCAGCTTGCCTGGCAGCACAGCATCATCTCAAGACAGAGAACAGCCAACCACCCTTACACTGGCTTTCCTCTTGGAAGTCCAGTTATTTTTCCCTTTCATACATATCTGCCTCTGCTACCCAAACCGATCAGCCTAAATAATGTACAAGGTTGGGACAGAAGAGCTATTGTCAGCTTCTGCTCTGCTGGGGGAGGTCTGCAGAGAGGAGAGATTCCAGCAGGCTGTCGGCATGACTCTGGCTGGATCCATCAAGACTGCAGAAAAGCTGTGCAAATTGATAGCAAATGGTTGAATTAAAGCAGCTGATCCCAGAAAAAGGAGTACAGTTCCTTAACTGATGCCTGAACAAATCACCATGGTTTCTAGAGACATGGTGCTGAAGTGGCAGTGAACTTAATTTCATCCGTGATGTATTGCTAACTGGTGCAGCCAAACAGACAGGATGACTGAAAGGCTTAAGCTGCCTTATTCATCTTCTCTGTTTTGAAGCAGAAGCACTAGTGCAGAGTAGATGAAAGATTTGCATAATTTTGGAAGGTTTGTCTGCTTTTCCAGAGCAGCTCTAGGGTAGATTTCAAAATGACATGGGAACAATGTAAGCACAAATATGCAATTATGGTCCTGTTTGAAGTCTGGCTTCTTGTTGTCCTAAGCACAAATGTACTAAAAATGGTTTTGTGGCCATTTAAGCCTATTCTCTTCTAGGGATACTCCTGCCAAACTTGCTCCACAGGCAGATCAGAACCTGAGATCAAGCTGAGACTGTACTGTGATTCACATTACAATTTTCAGTGTTCTTGCTGAAACGCTGCTGATGGTTCAGAGCTTAGAGCAGCTCTAATGTGTACCCTCTTAGCTGCACAAGTCTCCCAGGAGTCACCTTCCATCTAAGTAAAAGAAACATCCGAGCAAAGGGAGAAATGCACCTCAGTGTCTTCTATAACTGCTAATAGCATCACCCTATAAGAGGGCAAAGTCAAAGAGGTCAAAACAAGAATTTCTGCCATATTTCCAACGTACCAACAGAACCAGGGGTGACAAAAGAAAACCCAGCTCCACTGATACTTTTTCCTGGGAGTTGTCCAAGGAGACTGTAAACATCTTCGGTTTACAACCAGAGCTAAGTTATGCATTTGTAAGTGCAAGACTTGAATTGAGCCCTGGTAGCTGAAATACAGCCCTGAGAAGGGTTTTCTGTAACACAGCTAATACCTGCTATGAGACAACTGACAAGCCCATGGGCTTAATGTCAGGATTTATAATAAATGGAAGTGGAGAGCAAAATGTGCCCTGCAAATGTCATGCCTGTGGTTGCTGGCCTTTTCTGAGGCAGCACTGAGTGAATAATACAAGCTTTGAAAACTACTCCTTACACACATTTAAATCATGGTCTGTAACAGCTCCGAAAGGAGCCATTAAGCCTGAGCAAGAAAATGACAGCCATTCAGCTAGGTTTGTAATCATGCACTCAAGAGAGTATCGCATGAGGCTGCCCATTTCTGGCTTGTGCTAGTTTTGGCTAGGATAGAGTTAATTTTCTTCATAGTAGCTAGCATGGGGCTATGTTTTGGATTTGTGCTGAAAACAGTGTTGATAATACACACTGCTGAGCAGTGCTTACACAGAGCCAAGGCCTTTTCTGCTTCTCACCCCACCCCACCAGTGGGCAGGCTGGGGGGGCACAAGGAGTTGGGAGGGGACACAGCTGGGACAGCTGACCCCAACTGACCCAAGGGATATTCCAGACCATACGACACCATGCTCAGTACATAAAGCTGGGGGAAGAAGAAGGAAGGGGGGGTGTTCGGAGGGATGGCGTTTGTCTTCCCAAGTCACCATTACACATGATGGAGCCCTGCTTTCCTGCAGATGGCTGAACGCCTGCCTGCCCATGGGAAGTGGGGAACGCATTCCTTGTTTTGCTTTGCTTGCATGCGCGGCTTTTGCTTTACCTATTAAACTGCCTTTATCTCAACCCACAAGTTTTCTCACTTCTACCCTTCCGATTCTCTCCCCCATCCCACTGTGAGGGGGGTTAGTGAGTGGCTGCATGGTGCTTAGTTGCTGGCTGGGGTTAAACAATGACAGGCTTCCCATTAGTAGGTGATTCAACCTCCAAAAGAGCAGGTAAGGAACAGGATCGGTACTGTAAAAGGTACCTGCAAGCTGCCAGGATGCCAAGTGGAGAAAACTTTCTTCTGCCTTAAAGCAATCAGGAACAAAGGATGCAAACTGCTCTACAAGGGCTCTCTGTGCCTAAATGCAAGATTGCTTGAGCAGGAGTGGTTTCCAGGCATTTGGGTTACACATCCTGGTTATCATCTGTTTGGATTTCCCTGGCATGTCCTCTTTTTCCACCCAGATTTGCTGGTTGGTGGAATTTCAGGATATCTGACACATGTCTGGCCACTGAATAGTCCCCTCTCTGAGTTACCATATGGCCAACTGTATTGGTTGTGTCTGCATTCAGTTCAGGACAGTCTATTACTTTAGCACAGACTTCAGTCTGCCTGTGTCATTTTCTAGCAGAATTGAGGTCCCGCACAACCACTCTGAATACAGCTACAACTCTCCTAGAGGAAAACCCCTTCTGGGCTGGAAGACAGCAGCTACTGCAGAGCCTGTAGAAATATTGGTAACGGCTTTGCTCTGGTCTTGCTAGGTTAGTGGCTAAAACGTTCAATTCAATCTGCAACAGGTTGCACTAAAATAGGAATATGGCAAAGGTGTTACAGTATCTAGAGCAAAGCCAGGAGGTGCTGAGATTGGTGACACTGAGAAAACTACAGGAATTTGGAAATAAACAGTGTCAGCATGAGCTCTAGTTACTGAGATATGGAGTATAGGCTTGTTCTTGGAAAAGGACCTTCTTGCTTTTCTTGGTCAGCTGTGCTGGATCTTCAGGGTGTGGGCCATATTGTACGAGACATTAAAATGCCCACCAATGCAGTGCAGGGCTGTTGATTTTGAAAGCAATGAGCTGGACTACTTGTGTCTTGTGTGTGTGTGCAGGTGGCACTCACCACCCTCAGCATCTGTGAAACAGCCCTGAGCAATGTAGATCAGGGTTGTTTTTTTCCAGACTGGGACTTGGCTCCTGTTGTTTCAATTAATTTTCCTCTGCTAGTGCTGCAAGAAAACTAGGAGGGATGCTTTAATAATGAATCTATGCATACATCCTTGAAAGACATAAATGGGGCTGTGCTGGCTTAAGAGAAGTGAATTTTTGGTCCATGAATATTTCAATTATATTCCATGGTCAGTGAAGTTTCATCTAAGTGTGATCTAAACACGGCAAATGAGAGCACGATACCATTTCTGGGGAAAAAATGAAAAGTGAAAAAAAAATTCTATAAAAATAATTTCTTTCTCTTTCCCTTGGGAGCTAAGGCGGTGAAAACTGAAGCCATTTTCTCATTTTCTTTCTGAGTGTGTGTGTCTCTGAAGCCAATCCAGCACTAAGCAAACTTTCCCTTCTTGATGGTTGCAGAAACAAAAAAAGTAATAATTAAAAAATCCCAAAACATGAGGTAAGCCCTTTCGATGCCACTATTCTTAGCCTTAACTGGGACTGGATGACTTTTGGTATGTCTCAAAATCATTTCCATTTGCACTAGGACTTCAAAAAAAGTAGTTTTTTTTCTGGATAATATATATGTGCACATACATTGTTATATTTACAACCAGAACAGATCATCCTCACTTAAAATCTCCCCTAAATGGACTTGCTGTGTTCTGAAAGGAATATGGAGAAGAGCAGGATAGGGCAGGGGATGGCTGGTTTCAGTGTCTCAGGATGCTGAAAGCAGATCTGGAGTGGACTTGCCAGTGGGGAGGAAAATTTAAGAGGCTGCAGGGGCCCCCCACTCACACCAGTACTGTACCACTTACACCACTCACACCAGTGTGGCCTGCTGCTCTGGATCGTGTGGCACAGGATTGCCTGCACAGCTGCTCAGGTTCCTGCCTAGTTCAGATCAGGACATGGCATATCACTTCTGACTGAGAAATAAAATAATATCTCTAATCCTTTCTATGTGAGATGAGATGAGATGCCTGCAGTTTATCATAAATTCCCTGCTCATTGACCTGATACAGACATTACTGTCAGGTGTAGGTAAAAACCTCTTTAGCATTTGTATGTCCTACATCATCCTAAGTATCTCAAAATTTGATGTCTGTAACCTTGCAACACAGCTTTTGAACAGCTGTGCTACTAGCCTCAAATAACACATAAGGGACAGAGTCACAAGGAAAGGCCTGGATTGACAGACATTTCACATCCTACCTGGTCCCCATGACTAGCCCTGGCTAGATTCTTTGAAGGCCCGAGGCCCACCATAAAGAAACACAGGACATGTGGGAGATTTGGTGAGTTAAATTCACCCTAAATAATTTCCTCTAGGTCACACAACAGACCCCGTAGCAGATCAACCAAAGTGTTGGTCTCCCAAGTCTCATGCCAAGTCCAGTGGGCCTTATTTGCAAAGATAGATTCACAAGAGCTTCACATGCCCAACCCAGCTCATCTACACCCCTTAAATTTAATTTTAGGGCTGCTTGCATGACTAGATGTTTGCACTGACATAGATTCATCCCTACACTCTTGCCTACACGTGCTTCTCAGTTTTCTCCCTCCCTCTGCTCAGATCTCTTACCTCTGCCTGGAAGCCTTCTACCAGAATGGCAACAAGAAGGTTGAAGAGCACATAATTGCCGAAGGTCATCAGGGCCACAAAGTAGAGTGCTGCCCATGAGGATGTAGATGCCATCCCATTGTACAGGACCACGTTCCAGTCCTCTTGAGTGAGGATCTGCAGAGAGGTGAAGGGGAAGACTCTCTAATTACTCCACTCCTCTCATGCACAGCAGCTGCATTCAAATACTGACTCATCCATTTCTTCCTCTCCTTTTGACCTTTTCTGAGCATAATCATTAGCAGGTCTCATGAGATGAGACAGCAACACTCCTTTATTTAGATCTTTGCATGTGAGAGCTCTCTCCTGGCCAAACCTCCCCTCTCTGCAGGAAGATCTAGCACACCGCTGCCATAGAGCTGACTAGTTCAGATCCTAGATATGGTAACATGAAGGATGTGCTGGTACGAGTCCCATTATTTGGTGGTGGTATTGCCTCCTTTGATAACCATCAGAAGATAACAGACCTGAGGCCAGAGCTGTTGTCGCCTTTCGGGCTGTTCTTTATAAGGCATCTGGAGCTGAAGGAAAGGGTAGGGGACATGATATTTGATGAGATAAATGACATTGGTGGCTCAAGAAACTCAGGGAAGCAAAGTGGTTTCCATTAGGTAAAAGCACTGACAAGCTGGGCAAAAAAATATACATCTTTGCAAAGCCTTGCTCCAAGGGACCTTCCTCAGGGATTCCTGCTCTCCTAGCTTTCCCGGAACTCAAAAATCCTGGGGCCTAAGAAAAAAGGATGACAGATTCATGCTCCACATTAATTCATGCTTACAATGAAAATGGCCTCTAACTCTCCTAAAAACAAGGTAGCTTTGGGGATAGGAATGCAGTCAGCTGCACTGAGTCATGTCACTCATTAATTTTCATTGGATGTAGGACTGAGCCCTTGTGCTCTGTGTCAACTCTATTTCCCAAGGGACTGTTAGAATAAATGCAGAAATTTGTATTTATGTTGGTAAAAGAAAAATGTGAACCTGTGAAACTAATGCTTATTTGTCCTTGCCCCTTTGTAAGAAGTTATATTCTTCACAGTGAAGACTCTGGACTGGTTTCTACTTTGAATGATAACTGTAGCAAACACCTACTCTGCATTTAGAAACTTGGTTTAACATTGTTTACATTGTGGTCCACTTGCTGCACTTCGACTCTAAAGACTGAGCTTTTAAACAGAAAAGACTAATCTTTATATTTAGAATGTCCTGGAAACAGCACCTTATTGCTCCATTGTGTAGCTTCAAGCACACACCAGATCTTGTCTGCAGAGGAAACACAACTTTTATATGAAGACTTTCTCAGCATATACAGCCAGCAACTCCAGCTCTGATTTGTGACAGTATTTGTCACTCCCGGTTAAATGAAATTGTTTGCAAAGTGCATTTTTGGGGAAGTGAAGACAGGTAAGGAGACAGAGATCTACAGAATAGTAGACTGTGGGTCTGATCTTACCGACTATATGAATGGAAAATAAGGGTGGATTTCCAGACCTTCTTAGACTTTTACTGACAACAGATATGCACAGTGATGACTTTTAGTAGATTGCTTCTCTATCAGGGCTTACAGAGGCCAGCTAACTCAGAAACACAATCACTTTGCCTTAATAGCTCTACAGTGCCATTTCAGTTCAAATTTGACACCTACTGGAATAGTGGGTTTTTTTAAAGTGAAATAACTTGTCCAGGTGCTCTACATTAAATCTTCCCAAAGGATCCAGAGCTTACCTGAAATACGGTCACAATGGCCCAAAGTAAGGAATCAAAATTCTTTCTATCTGGAACTGTGTCTCCTGTATCAGTTTTCAGGCTGAACTTGCATCCAAAAAGATGCATGCCAAGAATGCTAGAGTAGGAAAAAACGGAGATGGAAGAAACACATTATGCTGTGAAATATGGGTGTAGGGAGGATTGCAGTGATTTTTCGGACACTTACCCCCCGCCCTGCCCAGTGTTTTGTGTGCCAGTGGTATCTCCCAGGAAGAAGGGCTCTGCTCCACCACTGACATAATCACTGATCAAACCCTGCCATTTGGTTCTTCTGTGTCACATTTCATTACAATTGTCTACACTGAAGCCAAATCAGGGATCTCCTTTGCCTAGAAAATGACAAACCACATTGCCAGCTCCCTAATCTAACTGGTTTCCAAGAACAGAATCCTGAGGAGCATTATAGGGTCAAACAGACAGAAGTCTTGGAGTCTGTACAACCTCTGTCTCAAATATAACACTGGTAGAGTCCAGTTACTGACAGCTTCCTGACATAGAGCTAAACAAGCCTCCCAGGAACTCCAGAGCAATTGTTGCCTATTTGTGTACTTCATTCATCTACAGAATTACAGTACTGCATGAAAAACTAAGACTGAAAAGAGGTAAATAGTCTGTTGAACGTCTGCTTGTCAGTCTATTGTGAGCGCTTCTATCATGTAGGCAGCCTAGCAAATGCAGTGTATCGTTATTCTAACTTACATATTACTTAAGCAAGCCGAACAATTAATCGAAGAAGAGCTGCAGCCTCTGATACCTGAAGATAAAGATGAAGAGCATGAGCAACATGCAGAAGGTGGCTACGTTGTCCATTGTCTTCATCAGGACCACCAGCTGGCGACGGAGGGCCGGCATAAAACGCACCAGTTTCAGCACCCGGAGCAGCCGAAAAGTTCGTAGCACAGAGAGGCCTCCATCTGACTGGCCGATGATCTCCCAGACACTGCAGGAACACCAGGAGAAGAACTATAAACAGCAGTACCGTACTGTGAAAGCCCTGAGCAGGCTGCTTTCTTACAGGATATCACACCATTTAAGCCCTAAAGGGATAGTTTATTTCCCCACTACTTCCTTGCTTCTGAAAAACACTTTCACTTCCCAGTTGTGCAGATACACCTGCTCATGCACAACCTATATTCTTTATAGCTGGTTTCTTGATTCTTTAATTCCCTTGCTTTCTGTGGCTCTCCACAACACAGCATGTCTCCTGCTAGCCTGCATCACTAGTCAGTCACAAGCCTAGCCACAAATTGTGGATCACAATTTTGTACCAAGCTAATATCCGGAGGGATTTACATTTGTTGGGGTGGGTTGGTTTGATCAGGCCACAGACTGGCCTTTGTTCTGGGCCTCTGTTGCTCCTCACTTCCCTGAATCAAAGGGATGGGCCAACTGAAGCCAAGAGCACTATCCTGGTTTACACCTGCTGTGTCTCCCTTGACTTCTCTGCCCCAAATTACTGATTGAGGGGTGAACAGCACTGCTAGAAAGAATCCCAGCACAGAGAGGTGCTGCACAAGCTTCTCATGCATGCTGTGACATCCCCCAGTTTAGGCTGGGATTCTGTTTCCCTGGGAGAGAACAGCAGAACAATGCCCTCTCTTACCCTCCTGCTTGCCCTATTCTGGCCTATGTGTTAATTTGGGAAAGGGAGGGCATGGTGCTGGGATATGGACACTCACAGTACTCCTTTCCCAGGACCAGCCATTCTGCACTTCAGTGGAAAATTGACCACAGTGCCAGATGTGTGGCGTAAATAGACTTTGTTCTCCATCTGCCAGGTCCATTTACTTTGGACAGCCGTTCTAATGCCAGGAACCTAAAAGGCCAGCATAATTATAGCACATCATAGCCAGTGAGCCCTGGATTAACACAGGCCACGTCATTCCTATTCCCCATCCCACTCCCCAACTGGTCTGAGCCTTTGGCAGAAAAGCCACAGTGGAGAAAGAACTGGCATTGACCTGATCACAACTATGATCCCATCAAAGATGTTGTACGGGTTCTTGATGTAGCCGAAGAGGCCAAAGGCAAGGAGTTTCAGGAGCATCTCCAGGGCAAACATGCTTGTGAAGACGATGTTACTGATCTCCAAGGCGTTGGTCAACTCATCTGGCTATGGGGCAAAAAAGCAACATGGTCAAACAGATACACAGAAGAAATGGCTAAAGGCTGGTATGTTCCTCCCGCTTTGGGATTCATGCTAATGATGTACAAACACTACATCTTCCTGTATTCCTTCCAGAGAGCCATGGAGACAGATAGGTACCTGAGGGGAACAGCAGACAAGGATCATGGACAGTCCCTGTGAGTCTTACTGGAAACACAGAATCCCAGCCCATTTCTGGAGCAGTTGCAGAACAATTGTGCCCAATACATGGGCCCAAAAACCTAAAGCTATGCGAAGGAGATGGCTTGTTCACTGTTGCAAGATACAATTATCCAGGTGAATGGCTAGTATGGTTTGTAAAGCTTCTGTTTGGACTTGCATTGGTCAGGCTGTTTTTATTGCGCTAACCCCAGCAGAGCTTTATGGATACTGCTATATCCAAGGCAGGACCACTGTCAATACAGCATGGCTCTATTCATATACAAAAAAAGCACTTTTCTTGCAGACATCTCTTAAAAGAATTAGGAAAACAAATACCAGTGAAAGTCAGTAGGATCAATAGTTTTATCTCCCTTGAGATATTTATCTCCCTTTGGAAATTGTCCCCCTAAAGCCCAAGATGATTTTTCCTTCTGAAGTCCTGCTTAGTCATGTACAGCAGATTTTGTTAAAATGACAGGAGTGTGGCCCTGAGTGTCAGGATTCCCTCCAGGATTAGTGTGAGTTTCTCTGAGTGTACAAGACTGCATGCAGCTTAAATCCAAGAACTGATTTTTCCATTCCCCTCCTCTATCACCAGCACCAAATTACCTTGGGCTACAATCTTGCTTTTCAGACACAGCCTTAGATGTTCCTTTCCTGGGAAGCACAGCGATGCCTGCCCAGGTCCCAGGCTCCAAAATGTGGCACAGCAGGGACAGATGCAAAAGGCGGGATGGGGTTCACTCACTTGCTGGAGCTACTCCTTCAAACAGCACCAGGCTCTGCAATGCGCATTTCTAACGCTCAAGGCCTGTTTCTTTGCAAAAGAAAATGAGTCTTTTTCATTTCCTCAGTGTAATAATATTGTCTAGAAAAAGGTGTTATTTTCATATCTGACTCATCTCCTGACTGATAATAGCTTCCTTTATTCCCCATCCATCATTAGACACTACATTAAAAGTTGGCAGTTTCTTGGAGATGTTGTTGCATTATTCGAGGCTCTGAAGGGAGAAGACCATTGTAATACTGTGGCAGCCACATTTAACTCCACACTTTGCAAACTGAATCCTTGGCAATTGAAGGAGAGAGTGAAAGAGTTAACTCAAATGCAGGAAAAGCCCACACATCCCCTCCTATAGGCAGCGACAGTCTGTGGGCTGCTAATGAACCATCATTCATAGGCTAAATTACTTTATGCAATAGACTGTCTTTTGCTCAACCATTTATCCAGGAGAAAGAGCACTAAGAGCCTCAGACCTCATGATTATAATCCATATACACTAATTACTAAGGGACACCAGGGGAAGGACTGTGCAATTTTCAGTTCTTCAGTCTCTAGCAAGGGGTGGCCCAGATGGCTGCACAGTGCACCTGAACAGCATGTTCACCAGGCTGTGCTCCTCACACCTTCTTCGCTGCAGGGATGGCAATTCCCTCCCTAACATCAATCAGCGCTCGCCCGTGCTATTCCCCACCCCGATGATGCCAAAACACCTGGGCAGAGGTCTTCCTTTTGCAATGAAAACACAGCTGAAGAAAAGGGCTGCTCTAGGATGGCATCTAACCAGCTTCCCAACAGAGACCGAGCCTGAAATAGCTCTGCGGGCTCCCAGGCGCCTATCCGGCTGTAAGCCACAGTGGTGACGGGACACCAAATAGTCCTTGAGCTATTTGTCAGGAGCAGTGCATGGCTGGCACGTTCAGTCTCCCCTCAGCCAGAGTTATACAAGGGCATTCTTAACAAGAAGCAAAATAACTTGCTAAATTCTTGCATCCCTCCAGGCAGCAGACTAAGGGCGCCTTGGGACAGGGTGTTCACGGCAGGCCAAGGATAGCTTGTTAGTGTGTTGTGGCTGGGAAATTAATGACACAATCATCAGCAAGGAAGCTGCAGCTTGGGCAGTTTTGAAGGGACAGCGTTGTTCTATAGCACTTTCTTCTGGGAAACATTGAGAACCTGCCCATTGCTACCTACAGTACCTTGTAGTCTGCAATATAGCAGCAGTCTCATCCGCTAAAGTCAAACTCAGTTCAGTGTTCTCCAAGTTCACCTCACTGCTGCCAGAGGTGCTGCCAAGAGTCATAGTTTTATCATGAAAATTGGGATAGGTGGTGATCATTTCAAAATCCCTAATCCTGGAGTTATGCGAGTATGACAAGACAATCTCAGGACTCATTACCAAAAAAGTCAGTGTCCAACCCGAAAAGCCTAAGCCGAACAAACTTAAAAACACCCTCAGGCAAATAAAAAGAATTTGTAAGTTGCTATTCTCTAAAATCCCATGTTTTCTAAGCCAATGTCAAGATTCTTTTGTGGCCTGTTGAGCACATGGCATTGCAACCAGTTAACCTGCCGGTATTATTTCTTGAATTGATTTGCCAATTTCCTTTGACAATTTGGTGCCTTTATTGCTTACTCTCCAGCGCTATGACTTTTGCTTCATATATGAGTTCAGAGGGTGCAGGAGGAAATCTGCAGCCATCTCTCAGGGGAGGGGAGAGAGGGCACGAGGGAAAGGAGAGGACAAGGAGGTGGCCCAGATGAGATCATCAATAGCTGTGATGAGGAGCTGATCCAGCAGATCAGTATGATGGGGGACACCTGGGCAAGGTTGACAGACAGCAGGCAGACACTGTAAAGCCAATCCTGCTTCAGACAAGAGATCTTCATTATCCTTTAGTGATCATATTTGGTGTGAGGCAGAGCTAATTCAATGACAAGGACTGCTGTAACGCGAGACATTTGGAGCGCAATCCTGCAGTGACATGGAGGCAGGACCCACTGGGCAAAGACAAGGATGGATAGCCCTGCATGCTGGCTAAGCTGCTGATGTGAGCTTTTGTATTATTAGAGTGGAAGCTAACAGCAGATGAGCCAAGCATTCAGTGATACAGCCTTCAAATGTAATTACCTTCTTTCAACACCAACTGGAGCCTAGAAAACAGCCTGCCATAGATATTTTTATGGCTTATGAAATGGTTTGTTGCTTAGAGAACTATTCATTTCCCACTTCTCTCACTCTCTGAGGAGCAAGATCTAGGAGGAGGGTCAAGGAAAAGACATTTGAAAGCCAAGATGGATTTGGCCATTCCCCTAGAGTCAGCCACTAGGAGACACTGTTGTTTTGTTCAAATTTAAGCCAACCCCAGAGCAGGAATTTTTCCAGGAGCATTTTTCTCTGGTAAAAAACAAAATGATTTGCTGAAAACAAAACTTTTCATGGCAAGGATTATTTTTGTCAAACTTCCTGGCTGGAAGAAAATGAAGTTGCAACAAAGCTTTAAAATTGCTGCAATGTCTTGCTTTGACCTTCTCAGAAAATGAAATTTCAGGCTTTTTGCCTGAGATGTGGTTGTGTCACAAAATGCAACTTCCTTTCTAGCAAGGAATAGTTAACAAACAAAGGTTGGCATCAAAACAATGCACTTCCAACAGGGTAGTTCTAAAGTGGTATTTTTTGCTTTTTGCCAAATACTTTGTATGCCTTAAGAACTCTGACAGAAGGAAACTACTTCCCCACCATAGGACTCCAACCTGTACGAGTGAAAACTTCCTTTTTCAAGTGTCAGTGAGAGAGCGTGACCCCTCATCAGCTTTGGACATCTCCTGCACGAGGCCACGAAATGCCGAGGAATCCCCACAAAGGATGCAATGTGCGAGATGGTGGGCAATGCTGTCCTGCTGGTATGAGGGTCCACAGTGCCAGATGTGGAGGCTGGAATGGGAACTGCCGTGCTGGAGACAGTCAGCAAAAACGAGCACAGAGAGTGGTTTAACCCACTCCCAGGCAACATTCAAAAAACGGTTCAGATCCAAGTACAGATTTTATAGATTTCAGATTCAAATGAATCCTCATACTTTGGCTGCAGGAGTAAGTTTCCCACCATTCAAGAGAAGGGCAGAAACTGTATGGGATCAATTTGTAAGATTTCAGCATCCTTGAATATGAGTTTAAAGTAACAATTAGCCTTGACTCCAGGCAAAACATGTCCCAGGAAAGCACAACCACCTCTGCTCACTTTGAAGGCCATATTATGCTGCAGAATATTTCAGTGACTCAAAACCATGTTTTTATTAGGGACGAACCTCAAACGTTTCAGCAGTTCATTCTGAGTTCAGATAAACAGACAAAAAAATCCTTTTCTAAATAGTTTGGGTCTGAAAACCTTGGAAGACTAGTCTCCTTCTGAGAAGCTGATACTTCTGGTTTTAGCAGGACGCAGCAGAACCCCAAAGCCTTCCTGGAATTGGGAGAAATTCAGTAAAAGAGAAACCCATAATGGTCAAATTATTGATGGCCCTTACAAGCAGAGGATGAAGAACAGGAGTAGGAGTTTGCAGCCTTAGATTCAATTTGTGCATTTCTTCAAGCAAGTCACTATGACTTTGTGCCTCTCTTTTTCCGCTCGCCTATCTCCTACCTTGTCTCTTGATTGCTGCATCCACAACCACCTATTTTACATAGCTTAGGTTCAATCACTAGCAGGATGGCACCATGCCTTGGCTGGGGCACCTTTTTGCTCTGATACTGAGTAGAAATAATCATACCTGCATCACCCTGAAGAAAAGGGCTGTTAGACACCTGGTGCCTCCTACTGAATGAACAGGGAAGGAAGTTTCCAGAGTAAAAGATGTGCTTTGCTTCAGAAATCCCCCCCCAAGACCAAAGCAGCCGTTCGACTCCTCCTGAACAAGGAGAGCTGAGGCTGGCAGAGACACAGAGGAGTGGTAAACAAATCCAGAACATTTAGTCTCATAAACATCCTTTGCACTTGTGTTGTTTTTTCTCTAGTCCTGGGCCTAA